TTGTATCTGTAAAATAATAATAATAATAATAATAATAACACTACCTGACATCCGTGATGATTAGATTGGTTCAGACACAATCTGGGCTATTAGACTCATATGTTCATATGAACTAGTGGGCTAATCTCATCTTTTCCCATATATATATATATATATATATTGGATCTCTCTAAGAATAGTTTAAGCTCTTGAAATCTTTTGATATGTACTTCAAACTTTTAATTGAAGCCAAAATACTCGATCCAAATATGAGCTGTAAGTTTATGTGCTATTTGAAAACGTAAAATCAGTAGAGTTTTAATCCAATCTTGAGTCCTTTGCACATAGGGCTCCATTTCTTCGTATTTCACATATTGTAACAAAGCTTGATTTTGTGTCTAGGATTTTTATAACCGTGCATTCATTTTTCCCGGTATGTGTGTGTGCTTCTATATATATTCCGAGAATCTCTAGGACATCACATGGCTTTTAGGTGTGGAGGTACCTACTTGTCTCAAAATTCATGCGTCTTCAATTTTTTATTTTTTATTTTTCAATTTCAGAATTCATCTGTTAAGTGTTTGGTTCTAAAATTTCAAATTATTTGGTATTGTTTGTGAAAAAGTGTTTTGTATTTGTTATATTTTATCTTCTAAAAGAAAATATGCGAGTACAATTAATAAATATTTAAGCCCGTAATCAGAAAAACTTTATGTGAAGGCATGCCATGAAAATAGTATCATTCTGTTTGCATGATAAACGCTATCATGGTAAACAAACTCGAATTTTTATAAATATAGGTTTGAGCTTTAGTTTGTAATCTTTGAAATGAAAACCATGAGCATTCTGGCTATGAAATATAAATTTAGAGATGATTAAATGGTTATCAAGCCTGGAACGCAGTTGTCCGATCGGATGGATTGCCGGTATTTTGGTTGGTCAAGCCCAAAGTAAAAATCAAGTTTATGCCGGTACTTTGGTTGATCAAGCCCAAAGTAAAAATCAAGTTTGTTAGTCAGACCAGGTAGTTTTGGCCAGTTCAACTGATTAAAACAAAGTTGACAATCTTTTTCTAATATATTTCATATTTTAAAAATATTATTCTAAACTTTTTTGTATTTTAAAAATCCGGTCTAACACAGTCAACTGGGGATATATTGATTCTACGCAGTCCATAGCCCTCAAGAAATGGCCATCCGATCAAGATAACTCTGGTCATGAGTTTATGATTGGTAATTACATGGTTTGGATGGAAATAGAAGAAAGCACGGATAAAATATCACTTGATCTTGGGAATAAAATTTCGGCTGATATCACTGATATTTCAGACGAATAATGCAGCTAAATAGATTTCAATGTATCTCAACCACAAGAAAAAGGGAACCTACAATAAAATGCCATTTATGTTTTATACCGAGATCTCAACACTAAGAATGACTCACAAAGTTTGATAAATTTTTTATTGAGCATTGTACACAATTAAAGACACACTCTTTGTCATTTGAACTTATATTTGAAGCTGACCACCATATGTCTCTAAAGTAAATGGTCTCACCTTGTATTTTATCCAAAAAAAAATCTTATAAACGAAGAAATAGTAAATAAAAGAGAAAAGTGATTTTCAAATATTGGAGGTCTCCGTTCAATCTCTAGCCACTAATTTTCCCCTGAGACTTTTTTTCTTTTTTCTTTTTGTTTACCGAAGTTAGTTTGTGGACTGTAGAAATAACATCCTAGATTTAAAAACATATCTTTTAGTATGTATTTTGACTAAGAGAGTAAATAGATAGTACACTCCCGAGGGAGTAGGAAAACTTTTGGAAGAGCTTTTCGCCGGTGCGGAGATCCGAAGTGCGGTACAGCACGTGAGAACCGTGTATTGGATTACAGGGTTGGCAGAGAGCAAAGACTTCCAGCTTGAAGCTTTTAGATTCTCTCTCTAAACTACAAAATCAGAAGCCCTTCTCTCTCTAGACCACAAGGGATTCGAGGTTCATAATATGAGTAGGAAAAGAGAGAGATCCACATTCTCGAACCAGCCTCATGGCCCCAAGAGGAAGAACCCACGCATCACCCACATGAGAGAGAAAGAGGAGAGAGGAGAGCCGAAAAGCAGAGGCAGCTCTCTGGTGATTGTTTGTTGCTTGCCCTCAGATTGCACAATTATGGAATTGAAGTCTCGTTTTGAGTCCTTTGGAAGCATCGCGAGGGCGAGGATCGATTCGGACTGTGGAACTGCTCAGATCACTTATCGATTGAGGGATTCGGCGGAGGCTGCCATTGCGAATTCTAAAGACCCATTTGGCATATCCATAAGAAACAAAAAGGTCTCTCTCTCATATTTGATTCTTTTGTTTATGTTTTGCGAGGTTTCTTCTTTGTTTGAGATATGGGTGTTTCATGGAATGTTGGGTTGATTTGATAGTGCATGCTTGAACTGGTTTATTGGGTTTGTTCTTATGCTTGAGGATTGGTACTTTGTGGAGTTTCTGGGTTGATTTGAAGCTTCATGCTTGAACTGGCAGATTGGGTTAGTTCTTCTTTGTTTGAGGGATCAAGATATTTCATGGAAATTATGCACTAGTTTGAATCTTCATACTTCATTTCATTGATTTAGTTTGTTGGATTGATTTGAAGCTACATGCTTGATTTGGTAGATTCTGTTCTTTCCAGTTCAATTTTCTCCTTCCAATGGTCGTGTAACTCATTATGTGACCTAATTTGGGAAATTTTGTTGAATTCACCACTTTGTTTAGTTTCTTTGCATTTCCTTATGTTTTGTTCGGATTTTTAACATCCATCTGCATAAGGAGATTCTACTTTTATCTTATGAACTTATTTTCCCCAAAAGGTTATGAAGGATTGTTGGAAATTTTGTATTTTTCGACTGACTGACTGACCGAAGGGAAACACCCAAAACTTGAGTATTTGGTTAGTCCGTGATCTATGAGGTGGTGAGGTGTTGCTTACCATAAACAACTCAGCCAACAGTAGCTTCCTCTCCTAAGTATGTATGTCCTACAAAAGGAAAGAAGAGGCTGTACATTATCTCCTTATCTAGTGTTCCATAACCTTCAGTATTAGTCTTTCTTCGCACAATTATCCAGACATGATTGAATATATCTGAAATTTTGAAATACCTTTTCTACCAATGGTCTCCCCATTCTGGCTCTCGGTCTTATCATATAGAGGTCTACTTTTCCGGCTTTACCATATAGATGATATGGTTGGAGCTCAATTAAAGAACCCTGTATGTCAGATTTTGTAACCCGTTACCAATCTTGCCGGAACTTGCCGAAATCTCACCAGAGGACTATTGTACAACTTGAGGCTTGTGGTTTAAGAGCTTGAGTGAGAGAGATAGAGAGAAAGAATTTGCCGAAAACATATTCTTCTTTCTCTTAATTCTTTTTAAAAGAGAACTTTTTATTTTTACGGTTTTACTGATACTTATATTTAATAGGATGAAAAAAATCCTTTTTTAGGACCTTTTACTGTCTTTTCTGCCCCAATTTTGGACTAGTTATTGGACCGATCAGTTCACCTGTTCAACTCCAGTTCATATCCTTGCCTGGTTCCTTAACTGAACTGGACTGCAGAAGACAACTGTTCACTGGTTCACCAGTCAAGCCGGCCGGTCCGGTCCAGTTTTTGCATCATTGGTTAAAAGTGTTTCCTTTCAGTAAATAGATTTTAGAGAAAGGCATGAGAGTTTATGGATTTTGGTTCTTAGCATAATTTGCTAACTGTAAGCAAAGATCCCCATGTTCTGTGTCTAGCTAAAGAATCAGCTAGCTTGTTGGTTTCTTCCATATATACTTGAAGGACACCATTACCTTGGATCATAGCAAAAACATTTCACCAAAAACTTGTTGAAACTTCCAATGACACTCTTCGCTGCTAGCAAGCTTAAGTTGGTTGAATCCCCCTTTCTTAGGATTAGAGACCAGTTTGTGCCAAGCAATACTTTTCGGTTATAGAGTTATTAACTTCATGTTGTTAGCATCACAATGGCCTGCTGGTCTCAAGAAGATTTGCAGATATCACCTCTGTGTTTTCTAGTGAAACCCCCAGCTTTGTTAGGTCAGGTCGATTGGCCTATGGAGTTTCTGTCAAAATTATTTTGACACAACTTATTGGAGATGGCCCCATTTTGTGGACCTAATGGCTCGAATGTGAGGAGTCTAAGTTATATTGTGCCAATAGGTACCTAAAAAAAATCAATGCTTTGAAATCCTTATAATTTTTGTCAAGTTGTTGCCCAAGAAATTGCCTGATCTGTAATATTCTTCCTCAACGTTGGGGAGTTTGGGGAACTTGTGTTCGGACGTTCTTTTTTATGCCCCAGACAGATCACCCAAACTACGAATGGGAGGGTATGCCTCCACAGAGTGAGGCCAAAGCTCAGGATGGAGGGGAAGAACCATTGCAATTTTCACAATGGTCCTTCACAGTGGGAAGATATTCCAACTAACTCCAAATAATTATAGGAAGAAGGACCGTATATGGAAGCTATGTTGTAGTGGATGATAAGGTGACCTGCATTCTATACTTTCCTTTTGCAAATTATGTATCTAATGGGAATTTAGAGGCCTCGATTGACCATGTGATTTATGGTCCGCACCTTGTTAAAGATTGCCATCCGAAAGCCCAAGTTCTGGGCAGAACCAGGATACATTAGGCTTTTCTTATAGGAGTAGAATGACTGTACTTAGTAAAACTCTTACTAGTCGAGCCTCAGATCATTTCACTCTTCTGAAAGGGAGGTTGAGTTGAGAAGTTCCCGCTTTTGGAAATTTAGGCTTAATTCTAGATTGTGGATCCCAGGCTATTTGCCGCCCTCTCACTAGCCCATACAAAAATGCTACACTTTCTGCAGGGTCTAAAGATATAGTACGTAGGTTTGGGGGGAAGGTTTTCTTGGGACCAAAACTAGAAAAGCTGACTCTATTGCCCTCTCCAACTTCGAATTTTTTTTTGGACGTGAACCTTCCTGATTTCATGAGTGCCTTTTCAAGCAGCAGAGGCTCTTGTAGACTTGCAAAGGGGTTGAACTAACTAGCCAAAACTGTCAACCCCATATTGGTATTTACCCATCCTTCTGAAAGGTTCTCTGCCATACCCATATTAGTATTTAGTCATTCTTCAAGGTTCTCTGCATTGCCACTATGTGCAGTCCCAGCTTTTGAGATTTTTATACAAATGAAATCGTCTCAAGTCACAAGCATGTGCTTCTAGGTTATTATACTTCTGCTGGCAACTTCTTCCTTGGTAATTGCAAGTGTAAAATCAGATCTAGTTATCATATTGAATGAACTGACCATTGAAGCATAAATTGCAAGAAATTGGATTTGTTCATTGAATAAATTTCTTCTGGGTAGGTCAACCATGGGATACAAAACAAAGATGTAGTGTTGAATGAATTTAGATCGAGTTTGAATCACTAGATGCTTCAATGTGGGAATTCAAAGTGCCTCCCTAACATGAAGCAGATATTGAACTCCAATTTACATAACTACATAGAGCATGGGATGTCATAAGATTTGAGCCTAGGATGGCATGATACCGCCCATGATATTCCGCCCTTGCTGCTCAAGAGTCCTGTATTCTGATACCATTTGATGAAGAAAACATAAAGATAACAGTTCCAATGGCGAACACACACACAATTCTGAAGAAACCCATGGTTTCTTCCTCACACCCAAACTAGGGTTTCAAGTTAGAGACCTCTCTCTCTCTCTCTCTCTGCTGTAAAATCATGTGGAATCACCTATTGATGTAGAAAGAATATCATGAGGAAGAAAATCCAATAATCTGTTGATTGGTAAATTAAGGTGGCTATGCATTGGTTAAACCAGAAAAGCTTTTTCAAAACTCAACTCTCTATTCTAATTTTCTACACAAACCCCTTTTATAATAAAAGAGTTTATTTAGAACCCAAGAAATCCTAATTCTAATGAAAATAGAAGCCTAATGAAAATGGAATTCGTAATAACAATTTTAATCCTAATAAAACAGATAATTCCATAAGCACTGTAACTACTATTTTAAAAAACTTCTGAAATCCTAAAATTATAAAAAAAAAAACCTATAAAATTAAAATCATAAAATTAAATTCTAAAATTAAAATATACATCCTTTGAAATTAAACAAAAATTAACAATAAGAAAATTTTGTCCTGCATCACTATGTGCTCTAGAAGCCTCATTATAGCTTTTTTAAGCACTTACTGTAGTCTCTTATTCATTGCTGTGGTAAGCATATTTGTTGCCTGCTCTTCTGAAAAGACATACTTATTAGTACTGAACTTTGTGTTTGGTAGGATCCTGAACCTAGAATTGACTTCACCTACTTTACTGTAATTCTCATAACGTTCCATACTATAGATACATCAAGGCAATTTTTCTATGGCATGAGAATACACTTGAGGTGCATAAGTCTTTTCCTTTGGTTTCTGATGCTTGATACAGAATCACTTTGTTGCTTGTTAGTCATATAGGAGATTTCTATTTTGCCTGAGCTCATGAAAGCCAAACCTAAATACATAATTTAAGTGAACCTAAATACATAATTTAAGTGAACCTAATTTGTGTATGGAGATAATGTAATAACCAATAGAAGGATAGTGGGCATTATATTAATGTTGAATCTGTAAAATTTCTAATTTAAACCCAGAATAAGTTAAACTACTGATTGATGGATAATATCCCCACAGAGTAAAGTGCAGTTTTGAAGACCTCCCAACTCCACTCCTTAACTTTAAGGCAGAAGAAAATGATCTCATTAAATATTTATTTGGACATTGAATTAAAGGAACTAAGCCAAATTATGTGCAATAATATTTAGTAAAGAGCTTTTATCTTTTTGCTTATGCTTAGCTATTCACCTCATTTTTGCGATATTGTGTTGCCTTAAAGAGTCATGGCCTATGACCTTTAACTGGACACTCAATTCCTAGCATGATAAATGACCCACCTTAGTTCATGTTGCTGCTTCCAGCCTCCCTAGAAGTACTGGTTTGGATACTAATATTTTTTTCAAGGGAAAAGTTTATATAGAGATGAGGCTCTAAACAATCACTAGAAGAGGTTGTTTTGATGCCCAAATATCCTCAAATTGATCATCTCGACATCAAGATGCATGGACATGAGAAAAAAATGGATTTCAAGTTTTGGAAAATAGTGTATTTTGTAACACATTTTTGGACTATCAATTTTCAAGATTTTCAAGTTCTCATAGATCTATCGATCTACACTAGTTTTGAATTTAAGGCTATCACAAAGATTTCCAGTATTGAAACCACATTTCTTGACACTATTTGAAGGTAGGCTCTAATTTGATTGTTTAGAGCCTAGGCTCTATACCAACCGCACCTTTTTTTTAAAAGAGGTTTTGATAGTAATATAATATTCATTATATGATTTTGTAGCTGCCTTTTTATGAACTGGCTATTACAACCCCTTCTCTCTCCTTCATGTCACCTCGAGCCTTAGCTCAATGTCTTCTCGGGTCTTGATGCAATGTAATAACTTGAATAAATATGATTGCTTGATCATAAATAAAGTAAAATGAAGTTTCAAATTTGACGTTTTTATTCTCTCATATTCTTCTGAATATTTTCTATTATGGCCCCATACATTTTCTTGGAGAAGGAAAATTTGGTTCTCCTTGTCAAAGGCATTATCTCTACAATACTAGGGATATTGACAATTTCTGACTTCTATCTTCTGAATTTATGAAGTGCTATGACAAACCATATTTTTTGTTTAGTGACTACTTAGTGAAATTTCTTTTGCAACTGCGATCATATTACTTGTACCATTTATCAGTCATCTTGTTTCGCATAAAATGCAGATACAAGTTTCATGGGCAGACGATCCTTTACCTCGGTGGAAAGTGGGTGTTGGCCTCTCTTCTCACAAAGACAGACAATCTAAGCTACTTAGACCAGAAACTCCTCTCAGTAGACATGGTAAACTTGCCAACCGGCTCGGTGCAGTAAATAGGGAATCAAATTCATCCTTCAAAGACCGAGAGGTGGTTGCATATGATGACCTTCTTTGACTGTTATAGTTTCAAGAAGGTGGAATAGATATTTGTTTTTCTTTTCTTATGCATGAAGGACATTCGTTTCTTCTTGTTTAGTTGGCAATTAGAATGCCAGAGCCATTTAGGTCGGCCTCTCTCTCTCTCTCTCTCTGTCAAACACACAAGCACGCAAGTGGGCACACACACCGACTACTATTTAAACGTGGTTGATGATAGTGGGCTGCATGCCCAGCTCTATACAATGCTTTACTATGTTCTGCTGCTTCTGCATCGATCTGAAATGATTCCTGTTTCTCAAGGAGAGTGGAAAGAGAGGATTGTCAAGAGCAGCATCCATGCATTAGAATAGGACTTGATTGGGAGAAGTTTATGGAATATGTTTTGATGGGAAACAACTGAGGGGTTTGGTATAGAAGTACTCATGAAATTGGAGGATTAATATAAAAGCAAAGACAGCTGGGGCACTGTATAATTGTGGTCCTTGAATCTTTGTTAATTGGGACAGCATTGGTGCTTATGGAGTGCTTAAATTCAACGAATTAAAAAGTGAAAAATGAAAATAACTTCTGATTGCTTGGGTATGAGTAAATAATAAATAGCATGGTGTTCTTTAGATCATTAGGGCCCTTTTATTAGGGTTTGGAGTAAATGACACGCATGGCCCCTGTAATTTTGTTATAATAAGAGTCCTTTCTGAAGTTCAAAATTTATGTACATAATCAATTTCTTCTGTTTTCTTTGTTCCAAAATTAATCTCTTTTGAATTTTCAAAGTCTGAAAATTATGTGGAATTTTTGGATCTTGAAAATAAAAAATTCACTTGCTCTGCAATTTTTCTCCAAGTAAGAAGCATTTTCAGGTTTTCAAAATCGGAAAATGTTTGTGGAAATTTTTTCCCCTCTTTTAAATTTATTTTGAAAATCCAAAAAACATTGTGGAAATTTTTTTTCAAATAAATCATTAAATATCAAAATGATCAATTTTGGATCTAGAAGATCCGAATTATGGGTTGCCTAGTTATTTTTAAAAAATTACGAACAAAACAGGTTGGATGTAAAATATAAAATATTTAGGTAAAAATTAAATAACATAAATTAAATGGGATATATGCGTAATTTTTTCAAACCACCATAATAGGATCCATTGCATATTTTAGAAAGCACAAAAGGGCCAAATATCAATGATTGTGTGGTTTCTATAAGGCTGAGGCCCCAAAGTAAGGCTCACCTTCAAATGATGTCTGAAGATATTATTCTAGTATCAACAATGTAATGGCTTAAAAATTTATTTTTATATCTAATTATAAAATCTAAAACTTCAAAAATAATGTAGAGCGGGCAGATTGTAAACACTTGAAAATCTTGAAAAGATCGTAAACACATGAAAATCTTGAAAATTGACGTCTTAAAAAATCCATTACATAATGTACTATTTTCAAGATTTTGAAATTTATTCTTTCTCATGTCCATATATTCTGAAGTCGAGATAATTGATTTGAGGATTTTTAGGTATGAATTTTTTAGGTGCACCATAAAAGGTTGTATTATCTTCTAATATATAAATAACGGACGTAAGATATTCAATTTTCTTTGAAGAGTTCGCTTTTTAGTTTCCATTTCAGAAAGCCGCCTTAGAAATTTAGTAAAAACTATCCATTTTCAATCAGGGGTATTTTGTAATTTAGCCCATTTGCACGGTTCGAGCCAAACAAATAAAAAGTACCCATAATTGTTCAAGATTGGGAACATGGAATTCCACAATTATAAAAATACGCTTAGTTATCCTGGCCATCATGGTATTTTCTGAAAAGTACGCTTAGTTATCCTAACTATCATGCTATTTTGTTAAGGGTAAGCTTTCTATTCTTTCCTTATAGCATAGAAGTTCTATCTTTTTCTTTATCCAACCGTCCATTTTGAATGGAGGGTTAAGATTGTCTCAATCACAATATCATATCTCTGCATTATTTTATTTTTAATTTTTTTTCTATAAACTATTTCGACACCAAAATTTGGACGTCCATTCCTCTATTAAACTCGCACTAGCAAAAAATATAAAAAAAATATTTTCAATAAAATAACATGATCAAAATACCCTTGAAAGTTTTAAAGGGTATTTTGGTTACTATATTTTATCAAAAAATTATTTTTAATATTTTTTATAGGTACGCCCCAATGAGAAGACGACACGTACCAAATTTCATATCCATACAATTTGTATAAAAAAAACTAAAAATAAAATGCTTTGAGATATCAGATCTAAGATAAATCAGTGAATGGCTCTCTTGATCAAAATTGGACGGCTGGATAGTAGGGGGAAGATAAAACTTTTATGATACTGGGGAAGCATAAAAACCTTTCCCTTTTGTTCATTGGACAATTTCATTTTTCTAATCCTAGACGATAAGCCTTTAATTGTTCGATTTTAGCCCTATGTAAGGGTAATTTGGGTATATTGTAATAAATTTTTTGAAGAGGACCTTTTTTAAAACGAATTTAAAAAGTAAACCCTGCAGTGAAAACTAAATATTTTAAATCGTGTATTGATTATGTGGGATTAAACAACCCTTTAATTGATATTTCCAGCAAGTTAAATTTTTTAGTGGAATTTTATTTTTTAAAATACTTCTCTTTATGAAAACCCATTTGTTTGTATATTCTCCGATCTCATATATTTTAGACGGTACTTTTTTTCTTTTTTTTTGATCAAATCTTTTAGACGGTACTCGTCCCAACTCGACATGGTCCTTTATACTATTTTTTAAAAGACTTGAAGACCCTTTCTAAAACGCTAGGAAAGTAATATACATGCTTTTCAAAGTTCTTTTTACTTGGGATTTATTGAGATATTTTAATTGCACGTGTGTTACACGAAACTATAATTTATTAAATATTTCCTTAATTACGATAATAGTTATTTGATTTTATATTGTCTATTCATTTTGTAAAAATAATTAATTTTTTCAATTATCTATTTTTTGTTTCTCTATACTTCATATACTGAATTTCTCATGTTCATGTGTGTCATCATCGTGCAATAAAGACCGTCAATTCTACCGAGGGACCAATGATGTAGCCGATCGATTAGCCAAATATGGAAGTTCCTTGTCTTCTGTCTGTTTCCAATGTCTTGATTCTAAATTTGTAATTTAATGTTCTTTTAGAACTCTATCAATAAAAGTTATTAACCTTGTTAAAATAATAATAATAATCGCCTTTAACTCATTCCAATTTCTTTAAAACTCTCCTTACAAATTAGAGTCCTACTAAATTGGATTTCCTTCACCTACTTTATTTGCTCCTTAAATCTCTCTCCTGGATAAACAAATTCTAAATTATTAAACCATTTCTCTTCTCACATTTAATCCTCAATCTCTATCTCTAAGAACATTCACTAAATCTATTTCATCTTCAACCATGACATTCTCTCTTCATTGAAATGACTTTTGGCTCTTGATAGATGCACACAAATGAGTGCCTGCATTTACTTACTTTGTCCCTCTCGATGTAGCTATTGTGTATGAAATGATAAATTTCTTGGAATGAATTAAAAATATTTCCTAAAGTTGTGAGATTTCTTTTCTTTTTTTTTCATTTTTTTTTTTTCTTATTATTATTATTATATCCTGTCTAGTTTTCTTCAAAGGCAAATCCAAGAGAGTGGCAAAAGTGAATGAAAATTATGATTATATTCATTGAAATTTTAACAAATCATTCCCCTCGTTGGAAACCAAAAACCGCATACTCAAAAATTCGATGACATCTTTTCCTAGTTCTTATGTAAAAATAAATGGAGGACCCCATGACCACTCAGGAGTGGGTGGGTCCGTGTCGCGTGAATCATCATGGCTCCCATGTGGATCTCTTGGATTAATTTGAGAATTTAAAGGTTCAAATACGCCACGGAGTAGTAGTTTATGATAATATAGATAAATATTAAATTACAAGGTATATGCATAAAGATTATATGGTCTTGCAGGAGCATATCTTGCATTACATGGGGTAAATCACTGTTAAAAGGTGTTTTAGAAGTATACATGGTATTTCGAATTTTGGGATACAAGCTCCTCGACATAGTGAACACCGTAACTCCTCAAAATAGCAAACAACATCAAAAGTTTTTTTTTTTTTTTTTTAAAGAAATTCAAAATATGCATTATACATGCCAAAAAAAAAAAGCTTTTTTGCGAGTGAACATAGACTATCAAATTTTGAATAGCCAGATTTAAGTGCTCAAAAACTTAAAATGATATTTTGTCTCTTTTTAAGAATATTCACCTGGTGATTTTAAAATTGATCGTAAAATTTTAGATAATATATATATATATATATATATCCTCGCAAGCAACTCTTTTACTCGATGGTAGAAGTGTACCACTTACACCTACCCCATGCCTCATCAAATGAATTTCCCGTCCATTGCCCATAATGGACGGTGAATATTTGTTCTATTCAAATGAATTTCCATCATCAAAATGTCACGAATGATACCTTATGTTGGTTATTGCCTTATTCGAAATAGATAATCCATGGTCCCTTGGTGGGAACATGCTACACAGTCAAATCAAACAAAATCTTAGGTCTCAAGACATTGTGGAAATTGAGGTGCACGTGTTCATGTTAGCCACGTGATTCATCGCATGGGGTCAAGGAGATTTAAAAAATCTCTCGGTTCGGCTAAAGAACTGGTTACCCTATGTCGATTTTATAAATATATAGGAAATCATATGAGTCTAGAACACAACCGACAATTTGCTATAGTCAAACAACGTTTTGTTACACTAAAAATACTGATTCATCGATCCGGACCGGTTTTTGGCTAGTTTACTATTTTTATACGCGTTTTTTTGCCGGTCCATTAATTTTCCCGCACAATAAAATGACGATCCAGACTGCCGATTCACCGATCCTGATCACTTATTAAACGTAATGGCATCGTTAGAAAAAAAAAACAAAATGCCCATTCAAAAAATTCACCGGGCGGATCATAGAAGGTGACTCGGCAAATGTTATCTGTTGGTGCAAGGACCCTGTGAGGGTCCCATGGGTGCACTTTCATAGACATCATCGTTTCTGCTCTCAATGGAAGAGAGGTCGTTTTTCAACATATCTATAGAAAGAGTAACTCTGCTACTGATCATTTAGCGAAAGAAGGGGCTCTTCTTTAAGCCTCCGCTCTCTTCTTCTTGCTATCCCTCCTACTCTCTTTCTTTCTCTTTTCTCTCCCTTTTTCTTTTTTTCTTGTAAATTTCTTCATTATCTTAATGAAAACTTATTGTTTCACAAAAAAAAATGTACCCCAAAAAAATGAGAAGAAGAAAATGACAATGGTTACGCCTCGTGAGATGCAATAACACAAATCACAATGAGATTAACGCCTCCACATGTGTATCGAAGGGAGTAAAAGACATGCTCCTCCGTTTGCTAACCATGATAAATAATAATTGAAATAAACAGACATGTCGTGATACGTGTAGCATACTTCTAAGCATGCTATCACTATATGTTATTAAAAGAGAAGCATGTCGTGATACGTGTAGCATACTTCTAAGCATGTTATCACTATATGTTATTAAAAGAGAAGCATGTCGTGATACGTGTAGCATATTTCTAGCATTTTATCACCACGAGTAATGTTAGCTGTATGCAATTTGTTGCAGGTATCACAAAATACTCTGCACGCTCTCAAAATTATATATAGGATAAAGTTTATCTAAGGTTGCAATCTTCAAATGTAGAATTAAAGATGTAGCTAATAAATCCATTGGACACAATTGTTTGACTGTTGAAAAACCCTTTAATTGATCATCTCGGCATTGACATATAAATATAAAAAGAAGAAGAAGAATGATTTTGAGTATAAAAAATAGTGCATTTTGCAACACCACACCCTCACATATATTGTTGGGAAATGTAGGAGAGAGGCCATTAAAAGAGGAATTCTACTAGGGAGGCTACCGGGTAGGAAACGTTGGGGTGCATCCAATGTGAGAGAGATGGTGCTATCACTGCTCCATAGCAGTGTTAGCAAAGACTGGATTGGATGGGTTGGTTTGATTGGTCGGATTGCCAATCAGTTTGATCTAAAGTAAAAATTTAGTTTGATTCAAACTAATGTCAAACCAGTTTTTTACCGGTTGGACTTGTTGACTTTAACTTGTTTGATTAGCAAAACGAAGTTAGGCAAATTTTTTTTGTTGTATATTTTATATTTTTAATAGTCATTTTTTAATGTGCTTTTTTAAAATCTAGTCCAACCAATTCCATTAATTTTGATTATGTGCTTCGCTGGCTCAATTTTCGTTCCAATTTTGATGACATTGCTCAAGAGGCTATGCAATGTACCTGTCTTACAACGATGGGTTAATGTTCTTAAAATTGCTGAGCGGACTTGAAATACTAGTGCAGGACCTGTTGTGTTTCCCCATGAATCGGGTAAATCGCTCTATTGACATAAATCAAAGAAATTTATATGTTACTTGCAGATAAATTCTGTTTTATTTTTTATATTTATAAATAATGCCTTACTTTCATGTTTTACAACCAAGTCTAATTTTGTGAGAGCATAAAATGTAATTTAGTTTTAATTTTTCTGTATAATATATCAAGCTTCAATTTAGTATATCTACAGTTCTCTCTATAGTACATCTATAAAAATATTATGAAAATAATTTAAATTAAAAAAATACTAAATTGCCCTTGAATAGTATACGAGCAGTTCAGTAATTTTATTTATTAACAAATTATTTTTAATATTTATTATATGTGTATAATTGTGTATGGACATATGAAATTTGAGTTTAATCTGATATATAAATAAATAAATAAAATCAAAATAAAGTATGACTTAATTGTAAGATATGAAATATACAAGGCTAGTTCTAAATTTACTCATCTATAGATCATCATCGTCATCAAAGCTTTTTTTTAACTCATTGGAGTCGGCAACATGAATCTTGATATATCGATTCATCTATTGATATAATATCCCAAAATTTTGGGTTGAAAATTATGTATTAAAAAAAAAAGTAAATTTTTAAAAATAAAAAGTATTTTTTTATGTCTCCTTGACCATTTTTCGCTTGGAAGTGCGTTTAAGACCCAAAAAATGATAAATTAATTTTCCTATACTTAAATTTTCTTCCTATTATTTCAATTTTTTTATGTTTTAAAGAGAGAATATTTTTCTTAATGGAACAGGAAATATTTATGGTTGAATCGGAAGGAGTGAGAGAGTGACAACATCGTCATGGAAAAGTACATTAGTGGCATTTAAGAACATATTTGGTATTGTAAGAATTGTAAGGGATAGTATGGGTGCTCTTCTTTTGGCCTTTTCACTCGTAATTTGAAAGTCTGGTCCCAACAACGGCTACTTCAGAGCTCAGATTCCAATGTATTATCACTGATTCACTGACCTGCACCTCTCCTTTCATTTATTAAATTACACAAACATACTCTCTCTCCCTCAACTTTTGCACAATAGCTTAATTAAGAGATCCATTTATATATAAAATAAAGTGATTAAATTCATAGAAAATAGTGATTGTGTCCCTTACAAGATACCATCATATCTCTCTCTCTAAGTCTATGGCACTCATGTTTCTGCTTTCTCACTCCACTCTTCTCTAACAAGCCATGCAGCCAAACCCCAAAAGGAGGGAGAAAAGAGTTGCCCCAAAAGACCCCACCTTTCAAAACCTCATCAAACCTCATATCTGAAACTCTGCAACTCTCTATAACTCATGTAGAAGAAAAAGCTCAAGAATTTAGTGAAAGACCATGGGGATTTTATTCTTTCTGTTTGCACTAACACTAACTCTTTCTAGTCTCAGTTCCTCTGTATTTGGCCTAACACAAGATGGTAATCCATGCCAACTCTTTTCCCCTCTTTCTCTCTCTTTTTTGTTTATTAACAGAGTGTTCATATTTTTCTCACTAAAGTAGATGGTTTTTTCTTTTTTTCTTGGAGGACAGGTGAAGCACTGTTGGAGATGAAGAGGGGTTTAAATGATACCAAGGGGTTGTTGAGTAACTGGAAAGACACTGATATTAATCCCTGCAACTGGACGAGAATCTCTTGCCATCTTCATGACCAAAGAGTGAGGGTCATGTATGTTCATCATTATTCACTTGTACTCTCTCTCTCCTCTGTTTTTTTTGTTCATATATTTATTTTGCTGTGTTGTTTCGTATTAGAAATCTTCCATTCCTTCGTCTTGGTGGGACTATATCTCCAAGCATTGGCAAAATAACCAGATTGCATAGACTGTAAGCACTTTCCTTCAGTGTTGGTTTTTATAATGTAGTCTGATCTTTTTCCCGATGGTTGATGAAAATTGGGATTTGTTATTTCTTGTCTCTGAGAAAGGTCCTTTATTTGTGTTGTGGTTTTGTCCTCATGGAAATGGTATGCAGAGCAATCCATGAAAATAGTTTGCATGGGACCATTCCAGCGGAGATTGGGAATTGCACAGAGCTAAGAGCATTGTAAGAGAATTTTTACTTCTCTTTTCTAACTTTTTCTCTTTTCTAATTTTTAGTTTCTTTGTTACAGATTTTTCCTTTCTCTTTTCACTATAATTTGTTCCAAACTGTCTTTTCACAACGAAAAGCAACTCCATGGGAAAGTTTTGTGGAAACTTTGTTTTCTGTGATTTGGGAAAAGTTATTGTTTTTTTCCCACAGTTCTGCTTAGTTGACTATTTTCTTTCCTTCTGTTATTTGGTGTTCTGGGATTTTTTCCGTTTATTAAGTTTCTCCATTTTCAGGTACCTGAGGGCTAATTACCTTGAAGGAGGTATCCCTACTGAACTTGGAAGGCTTTCCAATCTCATAATATTGTAAGTTCTTGATTATGGTTTCAATACCAGTATTTCCTCTAATATAAGTACTTTATATTTGTCATGGCTTCTTTATTTTTTTGTGTACTCTAAAAGTCTCCTCCTAATGTCCAGAGATTTATCGAGCAATTCACTAAGGGGATCCATTCCCCCCTCCATTGGCCATCTAGGACGGTTAAGATTCTTGTAAGTGGGATATGACAAATCCCATGCTTTATTTGGGACTTACATTTATGTTGGTTTAAGGCTCATGCATTGTTTCTTTGGGCTCCACAGAAACTTGTCGACAAATTTCTTATCTGGAGAGATTCCAAAAACTGGAGTTTTGGGTTCTTTTGGCAACTTCTCGTAAGTATTATTGTTTCGTATACAAGTGACATGCCTCAGAAATTCCTTCACTCTCGGCAAGCAGCTGACCCTTCTTAGTAAAATCTATGATCATTTTTGGAGCATGCATTTGAATACCTGTAATTTATGCCGGTATCATTGTTATTAGCCGATGGCATTACCTCAAAAAGAAAATATTTTGTTGCACAAGTTTCTGATTCAACTAGTGGATGCCGTTCAATACCTTTTAGATCTTCATATCCATTTTTTTCATTCATTTTATAATGAGGCATCATTCTTTTTTGAGGTATAAATTACAAAAGAATTAAGTACATCTTTTAAATATCTTTTTTTTGTTTGATGCTGCCGAAATTCAGGTTTATAGGGAATTTAGATTTATGTGGCCCGCAAGTTCAGAGGCTATGTAAAGGTTCATTGGGCTTTCCTGCCGTATTGCCTGGCCATGTGAATGATGATGAAGCAGGCAAGTTGAAAACACATATCCCATTTCATGGACTATGGTCTCTACACTCTATTGTCCATCGAATTGTAGCATAGTTTCCCTTTCTATGTTATATTTTTCTTCTCATTTTTTCCTTCATTTCTTGAAGAGCTACAATGTTTTTATTTCTGCAGTTCCACCAAGAAGAGCAACATCACATTACGTGAATGGAGTACTAATAGGTGCCATGTCAACATTGGGTCTGGCACTTTTCATGCTCCTTAGTTTCCTGTGGATTTGCTTTTTGTCACGAAAAGGAAAGCTTGGGAAAAATTACAGCAATATTGGCAAGAAAATTGATCAGGACTCAGGTCTCCAAAACAACCCACCATTCGCACCGTCCTTATTATATTGTCATTCAATAAAATCATCCTGTTTATTTTCCTTTTTCTTTCCCTTTTTTATCTGTTTATGGAAGTTTATTGATTTTAAACAGGCACCAAGCTTGTTACTTTCCATGGTGATCTTCCATATTCATCTGATGAGATAATAAAGAGACTTGAGTCACTTAGTGAAGCCGATGTGGTGGGTTCAGGAGGATTTGGGACTGTGTACAAGTTGGTTATGGGTGATGGTAGTGCATATGCTGTAAAGAGGATTGACCGGAGTCGTGACAAATCCGATCAAATGTTCGAGAGAGAACTTGAAATCCTTGGCAGCATAAAACATAGAAATCTTGTTAATCTAAGGGGCTACTGTAAATTTCCTACTGCAAAACTTCTCATCTATGATTATGTGGTTCTGGGAAGCTTAGATTATCTCCTCCATGGTAACTTTCCATATCTACTATCTTCTACCGCTGCTGTTTATCACCATATAATAATTCAGTTCTTCGTTGTAAATATAATACACACACGTGTCCACTTGTATATGTTTATCTGTAGTCCAATTGACAATGGAAAAACATAGTCACACTCACACATGTATGTTCCTTCTCTAGTGGTTTCCTCTCTCTCTATTACTTTTCATCATATCAATGGAAGGTGATGACCCCAGTGGACTATGACCCCAGTGAACTATGTTCTTCCATTATCCATTGGACTATGGAATACTTTCCTTTTCGTAAAAGATCACATTGTCAATTAGAAAAACTTGAGTTTTAAATCAGTGGTGCAAATTTATATATGTTCTCAGAGCGCGAGTGTACAGATCAACCTCTAGATTGGAATGCACGTTTGAGAATAGCTCTCGGTTCAGCCAGAGGACTGGCATACCTTCACCAAGATTGTTGCCCAAGAATAATGCACCGTGACATAAAGGCTAGCAATATACTCCTTGATGAGAACTTGGAGCCTCATGTGTCAGATTTTGGACTTGCAAAGCTTCTTGTGGATGAGGAAGCCCACGTGACCACTGTGGTTGCTGGTACTTTTGGCTATCTTGCTCCAGGTATGTCGATTCATTCTTATTCCCCTCCCATTTTTTACTCTGCCATGACATTATGCCATAGGGAGAATGTATAGCCTATACGAGGTATAGTACACAGGCTGGATGTCCATTTTATAAGAAAATGGATCTGTAGATGAATTGTAGTATGGAGATGGAATATTGAGTTCAAAAGGAACTAATTATCAACAAAAATAACTACAATTCATCTCAATAATGGAAGTAACGCATGATTGAGGCCCCATCTGAGATGAAAAATCACTATTTCTTCAAATATGTTAGGTTGGGTAAGTTGGTTTAGGCAGGATGCCTTTCCATATATTGTTATGAGATGCACTACTAATCAGTAGTATTTCTAGTAGTATTTCTTTTCGTGGACAATGGTTTCCCTTGAATGCTAGCTTTGACCAGCATAGCTTTGTTCTTCATTGAATGCAGAGTATCTCCATAGCGGTCGAGCAACAGAGAAATCTGATATCTACAGCTTTGGTGTGCTCATACTGGAATTGGTTAGTGGAAGGAGGCCAACAGATCCATCTTTTGTCAAAAGAGGCCTAAATATCGTTGGATGGGTGGGTATTTCCATCCTCTGTCAACAAATTGCTTCTTGTCTCTCTTCCCCACCCTTGCTTTTCCTAATAGTAATTACTTTTTCTTGGTTCAACATTTTAGATGAACATTCTATCAAGAGAGAATCGACTAGAAGAAATAGTTGACAAGAACTGTGAAGATGTGGATACAGATTCTGTGGAAGCGATCCTGGACATTGCGCGGAAGTGTGTTGATGCAAACCCTAATGATCGCCCCGCCATGAACAGGGTCTTGCAGATGCTAGAAGAAGTGGTCATGTCTCCATGCCCATCTGAATTCTATGACTCGCAGTCTAACTGATTCCTAAGAAAAGCCTCCTTTCCGTGGAATTTTGTAGTGCAGCTATATTTTGTTTTATTACTAGCTCTTCCTCTTTGTGATGATCCCTGCTCATATATAAATGTGTATATATAATTATTGTTATTGATATATGTATGGTTGATGGGGTTTTGACCTTCGCCACTTTGGATTTGAGAATAGCCATTTTCTAGGATAACAGAGAATGAACCAATGGTTAAATGACATTGCCAAGCTAATTCTGTCTTTACAGTTTTTTTCTTCTTTTTTTTAGTGGTACGGATCATATCTTTCTGATATGTAAAAAAGAAATGAGAGTTGGAAATCACCCTTTCGAAAAGGCAAGTGCTTCCATTGTTCTCTTAGTGCATCTTAATATCCACTCATGGGCTCAAAAAATGCTCTACAGAAGAAAGCAAAAAAGGAAGTTACAATAAAAGTGGAAATAAAAGGGGGACTAACCACTCGAAAAGTCGCCAAAATTCTCCAGAGCAGAATTGATAGGCGGCTCCCTCCCTAGCTAGAGTATCAGCTGCTGCATTGGCTTCCCTAGAGATATGCGTCCATGAGATGTGCATAGCCTTGCAAATGAGTGAAAGCTCGTCAACAATGTAGTTGAGTCTCCAAACGCAGGAAGTAAAGCCCGAGGGCTAGGGCAATGATGTACCTGGAGTCCCCTTGGAACTCTAGGAACTCCAGCTAGGATTGAATTTTTGTAGGCCCTCGAAGGGAGCGAGAGCCCTAGGGGGTGTGAAAAAAAGGACACAAAGAAGATCCCTGAAGCAGCAGGTGCCCATAAGATCTTATCAGCCCCGTTAGGGGGGCTGCATTATTTAGTATTCTCTCCAGCATCAATTTGGTGCGGTGCACAGATGCGAAATCAATAGCTTCTTTGTTGAATTAATCATTTAAAGAACTTAATTATGAAAATCTTTTGTTTTTTATATGCAAAAAGGCTCCATTATCATTTCCATTATTCTGAAATCCATGACAATCCAAAACAGTCATCGTTACTGTGTATTTTCATGTTTTTCTTTCTAACGGTGTTTTACCAAAGGGTGTGGCATAAAGTGCCAAAGTTAAAACAATCAATGTACGGGTCATCTTTAAGCCTTGTCAGAAGATGAAATTTTGGTATTGGAAACCCCTGGCTTGAAAATGTATTTAGATCGCCAAGAAATGATGCAGATCAAGCAAATTTATAAAAGCTAACAAAGTTTTAAAATGGGTAATCCAATAATACAAACTTTTAAAATAGAAGGTCCAGATAATGTGTTCCATGATGCACTATTTTAAAGTTTCGAAATCTTTATTTTTTTTTAATATCTAGACATCTCAAGTTCTAGATCATTGGACGAAACTCCAATATCAGGAACAATTTGTTCTGGTGAGTTTTTGAGGTGCACCTTATATAAGCTCTTTCCTTTGACTCAACTAATTGTAAAACATACCAGGATTAAGCATCTCTTCTAAATTTGCAGTAGACTCTAAAAGAGTAAATAATGGGACCAATGAGAATACTTTTTCTTTTCGTAGCTAAGACGGAAAACCTTTTGTTCTGATGGGAACTGAAAAACTGTAACAGCAGGGGTATTCATTCTAAAGTGCATTGTTGTATCATAGATTGCCTGTAACTCATCAAGGGAATAATACTCTATTTTTTCATCTTGTAATAAACACTAATAGGAGTACCGTGGTAATTTGGGTTTCACAAATATATGCGATGCACTCTCCTTTTAATCAACTTATAGACACTGTCAACTTCCAAGCCCTAGGCTACGCCCCAACCAGATCAACTTCGTATTTTATGATCATGATTGTGATTAATTATTCTCATCTGCTGAACAAATAGAAAAAAAGAAAAAGAAAAAGAAAGAGCGAAATGTTTCATCTTAATCTGGAAGAAATGAATTCTGTTTCTAACAACGGAAGGTGGCCTACATCTATTCACTACAAAAACAAACATAGAAATAGAAACCTTTGCAAAGTAGACCATTTTCAGTCCAATAAGCTTCGATTGCAAGCTTCTGGGACAAAAAAGCTTTAATTAGAAGAATGAAAGAAGAAATAATGCCATTACATCTCAAGTACTTCTCATTATCACACTGCAGTTAGATGTATACTGTTACACATAATTGAACCAAATTTATACAAAAAGAAATCTTAAAAGCACTTCACAAGGGAGAATAGGAAAACTCTCAGCCCAAGGTCACTGTACAGTGACATAAGCTAATATTTTATTTTTCAATTTACACAAGTATATTCTTTCTTATTCGAGCAAAAGGTTTCAAAATTGGGACACTTTATTAATTCTTTCACCATTCGCGTAGGCTAGAAATCGAAGTATGGCACTCAGCTTCTCTTTTTCCTGAAGGATGTCAGCTTCTGAATTTGCAGACAAGCTCTCTACATAGCAAGAAACAGATTTAGGAAAGAAAAAACATAGGAAGCAAACGATTAAAGGAAGAAGGCATAGGCATTTCATGTAGGCATTCATGAGGTGACAATGCTTAAATTGGATAACCCAATCTTCACATTCCTGAAAATACCTTGTAGAACATTTAGATATCAATGGTTTAGTAACAAAAAGTGACCACACAAAATAGAAAAATAATAATAATTCAGAGTTTCTCCTCTAAAACTAATTTCTCGGTTTAAAAGAAGAAGGTATAGAAAAATAATAATAATTCAGAGTTCATTGGATGGCTATTGGGGTTTATTTGCTTATCATACACAATCAATTTGCATGGTTTTTGAATGAAAAGCGTATGAACAATGAATATCATTTCTGGAAACTTAGGTGGTCAATTTTATTTGTAAAAGAAAATATATTCTATTGTGGAGATCCAGCATGATAAATTGTTAAACTTCAACAAGAACTTCCCTCAAAATTAGGCACATAACTTCAATGACAGTTACATGTTATACAAAGAGACATAAAATTATTCTTCAAAATTATCAGTAGTACGAGGGAAATGCCAGAGGCTTCTAAAATTACCAGAGGGGTGTAAACATGTTTTCCCTAAAATTATCAGTAATGGGAAAGGAATACCCGGGAGTTCCTCTAGATGACTATAGGCGACAACTTTAAGCCTGCTAGAACCTTTCTGAAAAGTAAAACAAATACACAGAAATTTATCAAAATACACTTAAGAGATGAACTATTTAACATTTTACTGCTGTCTTTTAATATAATTTCAAAAAGCCCATCATAGGTTGAAACAGGTCATGTTAAATAAGTCCGGTGTATTTTGATAAATTTCCCAAGAACAAAAAAAAAAGGAAATCTCTGGCTAGTAGAAATTCAACACCAGAAACTACAATGAATCAGTGACTTTCTCCAAGTATCACCTACCTTAATTTATGAAATAATGGGGGTAAACTTTGATTCAGCATTTTAGTTTGCTGGATGACTGTTAGTGCATTCACCTTTTGACCAATGCATGTCTTATGCAGCAAAAACAAAATCAAGAAACATGTTCTCCCGTCAGATGGAGACATGGCATGTTCTCCCCTCTCCAAATGCAGCATGGAGACTTGGAATTAACAAACTTAAAGTTCCAAAGAGCTTCCTTGAGTTTTGGCAATAGTTGAAAGCCCATTTGGATGTCAATTTCATTTACTGTTGGTTAAATAACAAAAAATCTGGATTGTCACAGCATGTTTGTAAATTGTTAAGCACATGCAAGTAGGTCGAGCATTGCTTCTATGCAGGTATAGGTGCTGAAATATCCGAATTGAACCAATGTATGCCCACTCAACTCTTAAAGTGCTAGTATTTCGAATGATTGTTGAAGTCATTCTTTACGACATAATTATATCAAAGTTCGATTCAAGACAATAAAATAGGAAAATATTTTCAGATTCCATGGCACACTTTTGGCCATGGTGACAAACATTTGTCCAAACAGAAGCAGGCTTGAGAAATTATTTGCCTCATTCTATGGAAGCCCATGTGGCAAATATGTACAAAAGTAGGATGGATATAGCCATCAACAGAAGCAGGCTTGAGAAATTAATTGCCTCATTCTATGCAAGCCCATGTGGCAAATATGCACAAAAGTAGGATGGATACAGCCATATCATCGATGTAGTTAGCATCATATCCTAAAACAATAGTAGAAGCATAAAGAAGAAAAAGAGAACACAAATTACAAGAAAAAACATAAACCCTCAAGGCATAACGATAGAACCATGTAAACATTGAGAAAATAGAATGGAACTTCTAAAATGCTTATAAGAATGCTCACATATAGCCCAGAGGGGTAAATTTAGCCAAATTACTCATGTTGCTTTCTCTTCATCGTAAGAATTTCTTATTTGCAATCAAGAGGGATAAAAATTTCATGATCTTCATAATAAGGAACAATAAGAGTGCATCTCATGCCTTCAATAAATAGCAACTTCCTTTTATTCCGGAACTTAAAAACGATTGCAGAAATAAAAGAATTGAAAGACAAAGTGCATCCATTCCTAAGCCCAGTTTGGTACAAAATAAACCGCAATAGGATCTACAAAGATGAAACCAAAACACAATAGGCAAAAATTAGCAATATCAAAATCATATAAGCAAATGCATCACACTAATATAGCTATTGTAACCAATGGAATGAGATGAAGGACCAAAGCCATATAAAATATAGGCACAAATTGCATGGGAAACAGATTCCTGATGCTGATTGAAAAATCATCAGCTGAATAAAAAATATTTATCCCATAGATAAAAGAGAAGGCTATTGAAATACATTGGTCCATCTCTCCACAAAGGAGCTGAATTACCTTATGGAATAGCCGCTACAGCATATAATATTTGCTTCATGGAAATAAAGATTTGGTGAGTGGTCAGAATGCAAGTCCAGGGAAGGTATCTCCCTAAAAGTATCAGCATTGGTCCAGTTCTTTTCCTCCCCAGAAATTATGGCAGGAAGTCACTTCTACATAATGAAAACCAAAAATAAATTTGTGTGATAATATAAATGATGAACAAAACTACTCTTAGATCACCTTTGAACAGGCCAGGATACAAGTAGACCGGATTAAGAGAAAACAAAGAGCAAACTTCATAATTAAAAGCCATGATAAACGTGGATAGAATGCTTGGGTGCATGGAAATTAAAGCTATTATTTGCTACTCACGACATCTTGCACATAATATTAAGAACTTTGATATTAACTGTTCCAGGACTGATTTTAGCTCAATAAAACATGGCTTCAGAATAAACCCATCATTTAAACAATCTCATGGGGTATAACATAGCATCATATTCTAAAAAAGATAAGAAAGTACCTTCCAAATGCTGAATCATAACAGAACTGATTTGTCCATTGTGAAATGATCAATCCAACTGAAGTTCTCAAGGTATTCAACTTATTCGAGCATCCTCTGCCAACGAACTTCATATGGATATCTATACAACCTAAAATATGAGGCCATCAACATTTTGTCATCCATTGATCTTCTTTCCTGGGAATACAAAAGGTAGGCTCTGATAGATTGCAGGTAGGTCAGGGACAGAGGGCATCTTAAGGTGTAGCCTTCCAGAAGATAATATTCCATCATCATCCCTCAACATTATTCAGGAAGTTGTTTAATCAACAAATCATATGTTTGAGAACTAGGAGGAAAGCCCCCTTTCTCCATGATGCCTAGCAATTCAGAGCATCGATCTACAAGGCCATCTTTCAGCAACCCATCAATCAAAATCTTCCAGGTCACCTCATCAGAGTTATATCCACATTGAAGCATGCCATTAAACACATTATGAGCCTTCTCCACATTACCCTCATTGCATAGACCACATATAAGTGACCTAAAACTTAGTAAATGTGGTGTATGGCCGCATGAAATCATCATATCCACAAGCTCTAATGCTTTGCTCCAAAGGCCCAATTTGCAGGAACAATCAATCAAGGAGGTGAAGATATCCTCATTGGGGGAGAACCCATTTTCTCTCACTAAATTGACTAACTCTTCTGCTTCTTCCAACCTGCCCACGTTGCAAAATCCCGCTATGAAAGCACCATAGGTCTGGATGTTAGGATCAAATCCAAGTCCCCACATTCTCTCCATGAGTTTCAAAGTGTCCTCTATCTTTACTTTCATCCAAAAATGACTTGGGGTCACAGAGGAGTGATCCTCCACCAATCCATCAATTATTTGAAAAGATAGCTCCTTAGTACTATGATTTTCTTGAACAATATGTCGGATTAGAACAGTGTAAGTCTGGTGACTTGGTTCACAACCGACGTCCTTCATCTTCTTTAAAGCAAGTAAAGCTTTGTCGATCGATCTGTGGCTTGCAATGCAGTCTACCAATAGTGTGCACATAACATGGTCGGCAGATATCCCTTCAGTGTCCATTTTCAGCATCAATTTCTCCACTTCTTCCAAGTTCCCTTCTTTAAAATAAGCAAAGATAATCGAAGTATAAGCACAGGCATCTGGCGTGCATCCTGAAGAAACCATTTGCTCAAATACCTGAATGGCTTGCTCAATCTTTTCTTCTTTACACAGCTGATCAATCAGAATCGTGTATGTGACAACAGTAGGTTTTATTCCCAATTCCACCATCCTCTCCAGGCACAATGATGCTTCATCCATTTTACCTTCTTTGCACAAACCATCAATTACAGAATTATAAGTATAAGAGTTTGGGAAGCATCCATGTTCAATCATTTTATCGAGCAGTGAACGAGCATCATCAATCTTACCCAATTTACAGTAACCATCAATTAATGAAGTATAAATCACCTCGTTTGCTTGTATGCCTTTCTCTGGCAGTGAATTGATGAGAGCAGATGCCTCATCTATCCTGCCATCTTTGCAGAGGGCATCAATCAATGGAGAGTATGTCCAATGATCACCAGTAAACCCACCCCCAGCCATCAAGTCAAGCAACCTAAAAGCACTATCCATGTGACCCGCTTTACACTGCCCATAAATTAGAGAGTTATAAGTTACAATACTAGGAGTTAATCCGCTCTCAAGTGTTTTACTCAAAAGCCCCATTGCCTTATGCACCTTATTCTCTTTGCAAAGACCACATATCAATTCATTATAAGTCCTTGCATTAGGCTTAACCCCACTTGACTCCATTACCTCCAAAATTCCGAAGGCTGAGTCCACTTTCCCTTCCTTACAGTATCCATCAATTAAAGCATTGTAAGTGACAACACTCGGTGCCAAGCCTCTCTCGGTCATCTCATGCATGAGCCTATCCGCCTCTTCAAGCTTGTTATCCTTGCATAAACTATCAATAAGCACTGTGTATGTGTGAACATTAGGCTTGCATCCTTTCTCACTCATCTCCTCAAGCAAACCAAAAGCTTTATCTCTCCTTCCCAAACCACATAGTGCAGCTATAAGTACTGTGTAAGTTCGAACAGTTGGGTTTAGACCTTCTTCCTCTACCATTTGAGTAAACAAACTGAATGATTCTTCGACCCTCTCAACTTCACATAGACCATGTATAACTATAGTGTATGTGACCTCATTTCTTGGGCAACCCTTTTGAGGCATAAAATTGAAAATCCTATATGCCTCATCCACATTGCTATTCCTACAATAACCCAAGATCAAAGAGGTGTAAGTGAATGTGTCGGGGTTCAAACCAGCCTGAACAATTGAAGAGAGATAAAGTTGGGCTTCTTGAACATTACCCAACTTGCAATACGCATTGATCATGGTATTGAATGTATAAATATTAGGGGCAATCCCATTACCCAACATCTCCAAATAGACAGACTTCGCAGTATTGACCACGCCCAACCTCGCCAAACCCATCAGCAAAGTGTTATAGCTCCTTAATGTGAGACTAAATTTATCCCCGATCTTCCTAAATGTATCAATTACAAACTCAATGTCATCAATGGATTCACATGACTTGATCATGGTGATCCTGATCTTCTCAGCCATGCCCATCGAACCAGCATGAATGAGACGATCCAATATGGCTACATAAGATTGAAGGTTGTGTTTGTAACCAGGTACTTGGCCCATCCAAAAGAAGAAGTTAAGGGCTATTTTTGTATCCAAGATAAGTTCCAAGACTTTGCATACATGAAATGGAGTTAGAGAAAATGCCAATTTCTTGAAAAATGGGTTCTTTTGCCAACCAGGCCTAACAATGGCAGCTCGAACTTGGCTTGGTAGATCAAAAAGTTCAGCATCTGGGCTATCAGGGATTGGAAAAGAAGATATGCATTTTGTAAAGTGAAGAAGCCTCTTGTTCAATAACATGAGAATGGTTTTAGACTGACCTGGATTGAAGGTCGATGCTCGTCTCATGGTGTGAGTCCTGACATGGCTAGTGAGAGTCGCATTCAAGCCTGCATATCTGCAGCATGTTTATTCATAATACATGTGAGAACCTAATGAATGAAAGAGAGAGAGAGTAATGGATTGAGATGTAGAATGGTTCTGAAGAGGAGTGAAATGAGAGGTGGAGGTCTTGCAAGGCATGGCTTGAATATGGTTTCAGTATTTGTGAAGAAAGAGAAAGGTGCCCTGTTTCTCTCTCTAAAACAGATAGAGAGGTTTCTCTCTCCACGATAGTAAGCCGAGTTGTTGTATCAGAGATACAGAGTTTGCATTAGCAAAGATGGAGGCTAGCGAGGAGAGACCCCTAAAACCAGTAACTTCATAAAATACCGAAAAGACCCTTACTAATAAGTCTCTCTTTTTCTCTTTCTTTTTCTTTTTCTTTTCAAAATCTTAGGCCTGAAAGCTTGATATCGCACATGTACAATAATATACTCGAAATTTCGTTCATTAAATCCGAACCTTTTTAATTCTTAACGAAATTTTCATCTAATTTTTCGATGCATTTCGCCAAATATTTAAAGTTCTTGTGAGCCAATTTGGAACCAATTCAGGTACAAACAAATAGCTCAATCTGCTAATGTTATAAAAAAAGGCTCAATATGTTATAACTCAAATTGAAAGTTAGATTCTTAAAACCTACCCATAAAAGAAAAGGGAAAGGTTTTTATAGAAGATCTATGCTTTCTTTACCATCCAGCTAGTCAATTTTGATCAATAAAGTTACTCACCGTTTGATCTTAGATCCGATGTCTCAAAGTATTTTTTTTTTTTAGTTTTTTTTGTACAAATTGTATGAATATGAAATTTGGTACGTGTCATCTTCTCATTAGGGCGCACCTATAAAAAATATTTTTGAAAAATTGATAAAATATAATAACCAAAATACCCCTTGAAACTTTCAAAGGTATTTTGGTCATTTTATTTTATTAGAAATATTTTTATATATATTTTTCAATAGTACGAGATTTATAGAGGATTGGACATACAAAATTTAGCGTCAAAATAGTTTATAGAAAAAATTAAAAATAAAATAGTGCAGAGACGTGAAATTGTGATTGGGACAATCTTAGCCCTCCATTCAGAATGGACGGTTAGAAAAGAGGAAGTATATAAGTTTTATGTTGTAGGAAAAACATAGAAAGCTTGTCCCGAAGAAAAATGAAAATAAATCTGGTTTGCAATATTTAGAAGGCATGATGCCTATAAGGCTTAAACTCTATGAAAACCAAATAAAGCTTTATCTCAAATCTTCATCTAGAAAGTACTTTGGGCATTAAAAATCTCTAAGATGGCCCTAAAATCAATTTCCAATACCGACTGTAAATTTTGAACGTAAAAAAGGTACAGATTTTGTAGATATGTGAACACTCATTTTTAGGGTGAAATTGACAGTCTTGATAATGTATTATAATATATACTATTGTTAGGACTTGAAATCCTATATTTTTTCACAACCATAATGATGAGACGTAACTTATTTTTCATAAGACTGTAGCCCTAGCAAAACATGTTCCATAGAAAAATGGAAGCCTAATATCTAGGTTCTTAGAGCACCATAATAATGGAGATTTAAGATATAAGATCTTGAAAACCCCATTGGAAATCAAATAAGGATAGGCAAAAGGGTGTGGTTTGTATAGAGCCGAGGTTCTAAACAATCAAAGTAAAGCATACCTTTACATAGTGTTAAAAAAATGGTTTTAGTACTGAAAATCTTTGTGATAGTTTTAAAATAGGAAAAAGTTTATATAAGGTTGCAACCTTAAAATATAGAATCACATAATGCACCTCAAAAATCTATCGGAAATGATGTTCTAATGTTGAAAAAACCATGTAATCGATCATTTCGACATCGAGATACATGAATATGAAAAAAAAAAGTTTTTGAGTCCCGAAAATAGTGCATGTTGCAACACATTATCTAGACCGTCCATTTTTAAGATTTTAATATATTTATAGATCTACTTGATTTTAACCATTTTTAAAATTTAAAATTTTCTAATTAGGTATGAAAATAGATTTTAAGATAATACGAAGTATTTTTTACAACAAAATTGCATGTTATAATAAAATTTTAAGGTGCACCTTAATTGGATTGTTTAAGGTTGCAACCTTATAGAAACCGCACCAATATAAATATATATATATATTTTTAATTATAAAATTTAAATCTTAAAAAATAATATAGATTGAGCAGATCTATGAAAAGTTGAAAATCTTGATAATTGATGGTCCAAAAATGCGTTACACAATGCACTATTTCCAAAACTTGAAATTTATTTTTTTCTCATGTCCATGCATCTTGATGTCGAGATGATCAATTTGAGAATATTTGAGCACCAAGACAACATCTTCTAATGAAATTTTTGAGGTAAGGTACAAAATTCTCCTGCAGGAGCACAAGACATCTACCCCGTTGCCAAAAGGTGAAGATTTTTTTAAAATAAATTTATGAACATAGCCTTCATAATTACCCTTATTTGAAAAATCTCATCTGAAACTTAATATTTACATTCATACTCATTTTTCTTGGATTATTTTTATCGTATGTCAAAAAATGGCGTCTAGGATTCAATAGCTAATTAGGACCTTCAAAGTCTAAGATAAAATAACTTCGAATCTTAAAGGTCTTAAGTTTTTTCTGGATCCAAAAGCCAATGCATCAAAGTGGCTTCTCGAATCCAGGATCAACTTCGAACTTAAGGTCCCAAGTTTTTCGTAGATCCAAGAGTGGCTAGGCTTCTCTAAATAGGCTCCTAAGTTGGAGAATTTTGAATCTCATTAGGTTACAAAATCTTTGCCCCAGCCTTAGCTTCAAATTCGAAGTGCCGTTATTAACTTCGATGGAAGGGATAGCAGATGATAAAGAGCAAAGCAAGAAGATCATAAAAGAGTGCTCCTCAATATTAATAGTAATAATAATAGTAATAGGAAAAAGTTTATATAAAGCCGAGGCTCTAAATAATCAACTTTGAGCCTGCCTAAATATCTTAAAATTGATCATCTCGACATCAAGATGAGAAAAAAATGAGTTTCAAGTTTTGGAAATAATGTATTTTGTAACGCATTTTTGAACCATCAATTTCAAGATTTTCAAGTTTTCATAGATCTATTGATCTACATTATTTTTAAAGCTTTAAACTTTATAAATAAATATAAAAATATATTTTAAAGCTGTCACAAAGATTTTCAATATTGAAACCACGAAGGTATGCTTTAATTTGATTATTTAGAGCCTAGGCTCTATACAAACTGTACCCATAATAATAATAATAATAATAATAATAATAATAATAATAATAATAATAATAACAATAACAATAACAACAACATATAAAAAATCTAGGGTGTAAAACAATTTGCTGGCCTCTTTATTGTTAAATTTGACTCGAAGTTCCTTCACGGCTTGTATCAACGTGGTGACGAGCATGAGAGGGATGAGAAACAAATTTTGTAAAAGATTTAGAAAATTTATTTCTCTTGAGCAAAACATTGGCCGTTTTACACTTTTGTCTATTAAAAAGAGTTGCTCTTGTTTAGGATTGGAACCCTTCACAAACAAGGGCAACTTAGTAATTTAAATCACCTATAACCAATAGGTTTAATCCCATCATTTGGTTGGGGAATCTTAGGTCGATGAATATACTAAATAGCCTAGGTTTGTTCAAGGTTCCCTACTATACTACAAAAATTTGAGTGTTTTGATAATATTTTTTAAAGAGGTATTTAAGAGAAATGAAAATTAAGAAGTAAGTTCATTAATGTTAATTGGAATGTTTTGACTCCCTCAATGATTTTGTAAAAGGTTATTGCTGCAAGGAGAAAGTAATAAATAATAAAATAAAAAAGGTTAAGAGATATACTCTCTATGGGTCGGCAAAGGAGTCCATCCCAAGATCTTTTCACATGATCAAATTCTTTTTTTTCTTTTTCTTTTTTTGGGTAATTCAGTGGCTTTTCACATAATCAAATTATTTCTTTTTTTTTCCTGTTTTTTTGGGTAATTTAGTGGCTTTTCATAAGATCAAACTCTTTCTTCTTCTTTTTTTGAGGCAATTTAGTACATTAAGAATTAGATTTTTGAAAATATTAGTTGGGTAATGGAAACACATTGTGGTGACTATGATGTGGGGTGCTACCACCACAACCTCAGCCACTTTTCCCCCAAACTCTTTCTTTATTCTCCCATATCTTTTTTCTACAAGGAAGGGCTATATTCCTTTTAAATATAAATTTATAAGGAATAATGAATAAAATTAAAACAAAATAAACAAACTAAACTCTATATCTCCCTTATCTCTTAAAAACAATCCTATATACATATCCATCTTTTTAAATAAATTAAATTAAACTTCCAAATCTACCCTTAAATCTCTGCAACTAAAAAAGGACAAAAATAACCCGCCTCTGGTTGAGAACTCTCCCATACTGAATTTTGATCTTCTATCTCCCCACATTGGTCGTCCACCTCCATTTGCACATAGTACTCCTCTCCTCCCTTGCATGCAGCCCAATTGGCCCCACCTCATCCTCAACCATCTCGTAAACTTCCTGAGGACCTCTCTCTGGATAGTATAATCTTAATATCTTTAACGCTTCCCCAATTAGGTCCCAATTCCTTGAGGTGTAACCTTCGTGTATAAGTTGTGTTGGATAGCCGATATCCCTCGGCTACATCAAGTTATATGAAAATAGACCAATAAGAGTGCTAAAATTAAAGACCCCTGCAAATCGATTAATATGAGACATTTCAACATCATGATAACCTCGAGGCATGAATCTTGAGGGACAGGGTCTACATGGGTTCTGTATTAGAGGCATAGTTTGTGGTGTGTACAAATCAATATATTCTTGTGTCGGCTTCTCATTAAACATATCTTCTACCTCACATATATAATCTAGCATGCTCTGTCCTATCTCTATCTAAGCTCGAAGCTCACCTGCCCAGTTTTTAGGCCTCTTCTCCTTTCTCTTCCACTTTTCCTACTGCAAGGGGTCTACTAGTATCCCTTGGTGGAGTCCAAATTGTCAGAACACACGATATGGCATCTACACCTCACAAATACGTCCACATATGAGAAACATGTGGAACAAAGCAGTTTCCTGAACCTGAATGGCACACGCTTTGTCTTCATGAGTTTCTTCTCCTAAATTAGGGAAATCATCATATGGGATCCATTTGACTTATCACAAAAAAAAAAAAAGAGTAAATAACCTGCACTAAAAAATTATTGAAATTAAATAAACATGGTCAGTGAAATTTTTTTATACTAACATAATTTACTCGTGTATTATCGATCTCCTGGCGCCCCACGAAATAGAAGTTGTGAGCGTCATCTCATTCTCTATGAGGAGCCCACTTGAGGGATCTAAGTGTCGCTCCCCGGATGTCTTTGGGCATAACAATTTGAAGTGCTCATACTCCCAACTATGGATTGCATACATATCATTCAAATATTAGAAAAAAAAATTGTTACAACCAAATATTTATCAAATACTTTAAATAATAGCATTACCAATGAAAGAATGGCTGCTCCACTTAGGTGTTGGTGATCAGGATGAACAATCTTTGACAAATATCAGAATAACTATTCAGGGCCGTTGCACCCCATGCATATTGACCAGCAACATTGATATCCTCAAAACGCTGCAAATATAATGTAGATATTGTACCATCTGTGGAATCCACAAAGATTGTGCAGTCAACCGGATATATGAGGTAAGCACACGCGTGTCATATCAGGGTGCGCTATTATAGTTGCATGTAACTGACTAAATTTCTTCCTCAATCACGTAAGCCAAATAGCAGAATAGTTAGTACCTTTATGTAGCTCTCCTAGCATCGGACTATATAATCCTTATAGTTATTCACTTTCCTAAAAGTTATAGGTGCACATGTCACTCTTAACTGGGGAATTCTCTATGCATCTTCAAGAGTAGACCTCATCTCTTCGACGTTCGTATTGAAGCGATCGGTGTTCGTCTGCATGCCACATCTCGATGATACCAACCAGTTCAACGGTCCTTGTGATTTATAGCAATCGGAGTTAGACGATACAACCTTGATCTCATGATCAAATTTATTTGAGCATTGTTAGTTAAAAGCCATATTCTTAGTGCATCGCTCTTCTCATCAATCTTGAGTTTATTTGAGCATTGTTAGTTAAAGGTCATACTCTTAGTGCATCGGCTTTCTCATCAATCTTGAGGGCCTTAGCTCGTTCCTGAAATGGAATTTATAATTTCAAATGTTAAAACAAATGAATTGATTAACCAATATGATAGGCAAAGAGGATTCTAAACATATGTACATACTTATCCTTTCGAGACCTTATGTGATATATAATTATTTTATCTTGTGAGCAATGTAGGAATTTTAGGACCTCCAAGCCATCATACGCCTCGGACCATGATCCCTATTAAAAATCAATTAGAAAGCGTGCAATTGAGCCTTATTACAATTAATAGCACAAAATGCATGCTATAAAAAATGTGATCATCAATTTACTACGGTGACAAATTACTCAAAATGTGATAACCTCATGCTTTAATGATACTAATGGGAAATTATACACTATGAGAACCAAAAATACAAAATCAGCAATAAGAAACCAAAAATATCATAATAAAATGCTTCAAGAAGAAACAAAAAATGCAAAATCACCCATTATTCAGTAAGGCGCTTGGGATTAATTTGATCTATCTTTTAGGAACCAAAATCAAAATGGTAATAATAATAAATAAATAAAAAGTTATTAGAGCCCCTTACATTATCAAAGAACCTCTTATTGTACTAAGAAAATATTATAATCCATTTCAAAATAAAACTTCTTAATTGAGACATCAAACAATTGCAAATAACAACCTAAGAAGGAACCGATCAATAATAAATAGTTTAGTGTATGATAATGATCTAAGAAGGAATCAAACATAAAGTTTTCAAAAAAGAAATTTGTGGACCAAATAATAACAAATAATTTACGTGCTTAGCATTACATGTTTCAAGAAGAAAACAAATTGATGTTACAAAGATTTGGGAACTTTCATTTATCAGTCAAGAACCATAATCAAATTGGTAGTAATAATAATAATACTAATAATAGTAATACTAGCAATAGTAAGAATAGGCATACTAGTAATAATAGTAATAGTAATAATAATAATAATAATAATAGTAATACTAGCAATAGTAAGAATAATAATAATACTAATAATAACAATAATAGTAATAGTAGTAATAGTAATAATAATACTAATAATAATAATAGCAATAATAATAATAATAATAATAATAATAATAATAATAATGTAATAGTAGTAATTGTAACAACAACACATGGCTACTTACATTATAAAAAAATACTAAAATAACGCTACAAAGATTTGGGGATTTATATGAACGATGATGCTAAAAATAATATGGGAAATGAGTTTTTAGATGAATGAAGAATGTCCGATGTGAATATCGAGTGAAGCAAATGAGGGCCAGGTAGCTCCAGTGAGAGAGAGGGAGCGAGAGGAAGAAGGCTAGGGTTTTCAGATGGAAGAAGCGGTTCTACTACGGGTGAGATTTCCGTGAAAGTAGCAGTAGTTCGAGTTTCGTTATACACAAGGCGGTCCTGACCTTTGTTTCGGTCCATTAGACCATATCACGGCGAACCTCCATGACCATCAGAGCTCTCGGTCTACCGTGATGCTTTCACGGACATAAGATTCAAAAAACACACTCGGAGATAAAAGAGAATGAATGAGGTTTTAGAAAATTTGAAGTTTACTTCTAATAATCTAAAAAAAACTATTTATATATATTTAAAAAAATTTCCTTATAAATAAAAAAATAAAAATTTCACAAAATAAAAAAATACTTTTATATAGATATTTTTTTGCTTAAGCCGAATTAGCCCAAAATGGATCGAAGCTAACAGAAGCGGCAACACTAGCTTCGCTTCGGTCTAGGCCTAAAATCTAATGACTTCAATCTCTTTGATTGAAGCGAAGCGAATCTAATAATACGGAGATCGGTGGTCTGGATTGTTCATCTAGAAAACCGATTTGGATCATATAATAGTGATCCAACCTAGTGAATTGGCTGCTATAAAATAATAATAATAATTTCAAAATTATAAAATAAAAGATATGACTGGTTTTTGTTAAGGATGCAGTTTGTATAAAGTCGAGGCTCTAAACAATCAAATTTGAGCCCACCTTCAAATAGTATCGAGAAATATGGTTTCAATGTCGGAAAGTTTTGTGATAGCCTTAAATTATATTTTCATATTTAGTTGTAAAATTTAAAGCTTAAAAAATAGTGTAGATCGATCCGATCTATGAAAACTTGAAAATCTAAAAAATTGACGGTCGAAAAATGCATTACAAGATGCCCTATTTCCAAAACTTGAAATTCATGTTTTTCTCATGTCCATGCATCTTGATGTCGAGATTATTAATTTGATGATATTCGGGCATCAAAGCGACCTATTATAATAAATGTTTTGAAGTAAGCTCTAATTTGATTGTTTAGAGCCTAGGCTCTATATAAACTTTTCCCTTTTGTTCAAGAGCCAATCGATTGCATCGTAGCCGTGGAGGTACGGTGCATCTTCAAATTTTATCATAGTATATAATTTTAATGTAAAATATTATTAAGATTATCTCAAAATCTATCTTTATATCTAATTATAAAAGTTTAAATTTAAAAAGGTTCAAATCAATTAACATCTTGAAAATGGACGGTGTAGATAATATGTTGTAAAATACACTATTTTTAAGATTTAAAATCTTTTTATTTTCCATATTCATGCATCTCAATGCCGAGATGATCAATCAAAAAGGGTTTTCCAACATTAAAACTACACTTTCGAATGGATTTTTGAGGTGCTTCCGTGGTTCTACATTATAAGGTTGCATCCTTATATAAACTGTTTCGGTACGGCGGTCCAATCGATTTCCAATCGGCATTTTCTAAAACCCTGTTTCGGTACGGCGGCATCAATGCAAGGCTCACAAAAACCCATGTTTTAAAATGCGGGTTCGCTCATAATCTTATGCATTTATTATACCCGAATATGCTTAAACTACTTTTCTTTTCCCATTTCTTCGCCGTTACACGTTAGAAGTATCGTTCCCTCCCGCTCTCCATTAACGCATTCATCGTTGACATTACAAAAGCTCTTCCAAAGCTTGTCAAGGATCTGCATTCCACGCGGCAACCTTCAAACAATTCTCTCTCTAAGCTCTACGAAAAAATTCAGTCTCTCCCTCTCTGAACTAGTACTCTTGAGATGGAGGGCAAAGTGATCTGTGCTTCATGGATCCGAAGACCGGGAGAGACCGCAGTCGTTCTTGGAAAATCTGGATCAACCCCTTCTCTCCAATTCTATTCCTTCAATTCGCAGAACAGTTCCCTCTCTCTCATGGTAATGTTATGGTCCATCTGCAATACTCTCTCATCTTTTTGGTTTCGCTCTCTGACTGTTTTTTACATATTAAAATTACAGGCTGAGCATATTTGTGAAGAGGGTGACCCTCTCAGTGTAACCGTTAGTGGAAACGACCTTGTTTACTCCACTCGTCATGGTTGCGTGTATGTTCTTTAACATTCTTCTTTTTTGTGATTGTTTTCTTTCCAATCGTTTGCAATTATCTGTACAAAATGATCGGGAACAATTATTTGGTTTTCATAATTATAGGAAAAAGGTGATTTGTTGAATTATAAGTTTTTTTGGTGAAAATTTATATGTTTGCTTCTGTTTTGCTCTGTTCTTTCTCCTTGGTTGACTGTGGTTGTTGATGTATGGTGCTCTAAATTTTTTATATTCATATTTGAAAAATGATAGAAATTGTCATTATGTTTTCCTTATTTGTTGCGTATTTCCCTTTGATTTTTTCTTATATTTGACTGATACATTTAGATGTTTCAAATTCCTGAATTTCAATTTGGGGCTTCTAGTTGATGGATCATAATTTGATTATTTATGCCTTTATTTTTGGTAGTTGTATTGATGTCTTTATTGGATTTCTGTAATATGTAAGGATGCTGTGTGAGGACTTTAGAATGAATTTCTTTTTGAAGATAAAGTGATGATATTGTTTAAAAGGTGAAATTTTGAGCCGACTACCATCCCAGGGCTCGAATGTTTCATGCATTCTGATAAAAAAGAAAGATATTTTTCACATTCATGGGTTATATTCTTTCTATACTGCTTAGGGCATGGTTTTTAACCTAGGGCATTTTCATTTATGAACTGTCTCACGAAGTATTTGATGAATTAATATACTACAGTGATCAGAGTTAAAACAATCTCCATGTGGTTGTCACTAAAGGTAGTTCATGGGGCAATATATTGATAAAGTAATGCCTTAATTTTTATGTACTTTCAGATGGCTTGAGTTGTATGGTCGCGAATCAAATGTCAATGTTATTGCGAAAGATCTTCCTTCTCTCCAAGGCATTGGGCTTCAGAAATGTCTTGCGTTTAGTGCAGATGGCTCTAGATTTGCCGCTGGTGGGGAGGTAATTTTTTCTCTATCATTATTATGTAGATGTTTATCTATGAACTTCCTTTGTACAAGTTGGTGTATCATTGACATTTATTGAATAAATTGCAAAGCTTTTTTAGTACCATCTTGAGAAACTACAACAAAAGCATCAGAATTTCTACATTAATTGGATATCGTGTTAGACTTGTCCATATTTTGAATTTTTTAAGATTCCCTTCTTTAAACAACTACAATTATTTATTTCAAATGTATTTCTTGGTATTCAACATGGGACATAGTGTTCGTGATTGAAGGCTTTTATACTTATATTTCATTTAATCAGAAGGATCATCTAACAAGATCACTTATTGTGCTTAGGATGGGCATCTTCGAATTTTCGAGTGGCCAAATCTACGCATACTTTTGGATGAGCCAAATGCTCATAAGTCTTTTCGAGATTTAGACTTCAGGTAAGCACTGTAGGTGATGTTGTTCTTTTGTGCCTCAAGTTCATTAGTACTTTCAATGTTTGTATTTCAGTTGACTTTGTAAACTTTTACATGTATGCATGTAGATATATGTATTGTATAATACATATATAAGAAAGTGTGCATTTATACCATTTCATATGATATACTACGCAATCAAAATTTATGTAGAAGGTGAGACATGTATGGCTTAAAGCCCATTGTTGGTTCCGTGTAATTTTCCTTCACCATCTCCATTTATTTGCAGCAGAGAAGTGTTTAAATGATTATATTTCTGTTTCTATTGTTCGTTGAGAAAGCTGTCAATTGACTGCTTGATGTCCATGGAGTTGTAGTCAATTGAGAAAGTAAAGAGTGGTCTTGAAAGGGATGTGTGATCACTTTGATAACTTAACAACTCAAAAAACATTAGGAATTTCTACTAGTTGTCAGTTCTCAATTGGCAGAAAGATGTGGAAATTGGGTATTTTTAATTCAAGAGAGCCTCCATGTTGACCACTTGTACTTCAGGAGAAACCTGATTGGTTTCTCAGAACTTTATTGTAGATTAGGGGACTCATGGTCGTAAGAATGTGTGCTTGTTGGCTATGAGATGCACTCATACATGCGCATGTTATGCATTATTGTTTGAACATCTTAATCTGAGTATATATTTATACATACCTTTGCATGTGTTGTTCTTTCTCTCACTGCATTTTGTCTTGTCCTCTTCCAGCTTAGACACAGAGTATTTGGCTTCAACATCCACTGATGGTTCTGCAAGAATATGGAAAACAAATGAGGGAGTCCCATTAACTTCTTTAACACGTGACTCGGTAATGTTCAATACACATGCAGATATACATAAAAACATACATAACATGTATGTATGATGTATGATGCATAAATGCATACATAAATATAGTGATGAAAACTCTTGTTTTGCTCGAGCCTCATTTGCATAAATCACTGGATACTTTAATTCTGTGTCTACAGGGTGAGAAAATTGAGTGTTGTCGGTTTTCAAGAGATGGAACTAAACCGTTTCTCTTCTGCACTGTTCAAAAGGGTATGTCTATATCCATTTGACTTCAGATGATAGTTGAACTGTTTATGCCTCATTTTTCTGTTATAACCTGTGTACTAATCAGCTGAATCCCTCTTGAAACTCAAATAAAGCTGGGGGCAAAGTGGTAACTGCAGTTTGGGACATCAGTACTTGGAATAGATTGGGGCATAAAAGACTATTTGGAAAGCCTGTCTCTGTGTTGTCTATCAGCTTAGATGGAAAATACCTTGCACTGTAAGTCCATTTCCGTTTTTATCTGCTTATATATTATATTGGTTTTTAAATAAGAGTGGAAGTAACCTCCGAATTATTTCGTTACTCATCATTGGCTTGTGCTGCAAGTATGAGGTGTTTTATTTTATTTTATTTTCTTTTTTTGCACATCCTAGTCTGTGCCTTTGAACTGGTAAGCATATTCTTCATATAGATTATTTTGCTGATGCACGTGAAAATTTGTTTTCTTTGCATTAATATTGCTTGCCAATGGATTATGTTGGTTTCCTTATAGGGGAAGCTATGATGGAGATATTTGTGTTGTTGAAGTAAAGAAAATGGAAACATGTCATCTAATTAGAAAGGTGCATCTTGGTGCATGTATTTCAACAGTGGAGTTCTGCCCCAGTGAGAGGTAAATAATAGTGCCCTTAGCTTTTCTTCTAGATTGGTAAAATAAGATCTAATCTCCACATATGCTTGGGCTTAACACCATTTTGACTTATCCAATCAGAGCCTCTTTGGATTGACAATTGCCTTTCACTTTAACAAAGTGCAATTGCATATTGTTGACCAATTTTTCTTAATTTCGGTAGCATTTTTTGCAATGGAATCTGTGGCAGTTGATCATTTCTAATAAATGATTTGTGATTACTTTATTATACGAGGGATCCATTTGTTCACATTCCATTGCTTATGGAAGGTATTGTTGAGGATTGATGTCTTGTATTCTGAAGAAATAGATCTGCCAAGGTGGAGTAAAAAGGACGACTTGGGAGGGCCGTTAAAAGCTCGAAGGAGTGTCTGATCAGGTAGACTCAGTTGACTTGGCCCGTACGAGGGTTAGGCGACGGTAGCCCACGAGGAAAATTTAGGATATCCGCATATGGGATTCGATATATATCTGTACATGGGGTATTTCGGTAATTTGTATTATCTATCTGGGACTCGATATGTATTGTTGCGATAGAGGGTTTTTTAGGGTTAATGGAAAAATACAAATCTCTTTGTAATCAGAGAGAATAGAGAGGCGTGAGGAAGAAAACTATTGTAACCCTATTCTCTATTGCCAGTAAAGAAGCTCTCATCTCTCGTAGATGTAGGCACTTCTTTCTAGTTTTTATGGATTGTTTTTCGTTTCAACAAATTCGTATCAAAGCTTACTAGGTTATTCCGCGTTTTGGCTACTACAATGACAGAAAAGGGCTCAAGCGTCAAGTATGATATTGAGAGGTTCAATGGAAAGAACAACTTCACTCTTTGGCGACGAAGGATGAAGGATCTTTTAATACAGCAAGGTATGGTTAAGGCTTTGCTAGGAAAATCGAAGAAACCAGCAAAGATAGACGATGAAAAGTGGCAAGAGATGGAGGAAAAGACAGTAAGTGCGATTCATCTGAATCTATCAGATGACTCCTTGTGTTATGTGGTGGACCTCGAAACTGCTCCGGAGGTTTAGACAAAACTCGAGAGTATCTACATGAAGAAATCTCTGACGAACAAGTTGTTCTTGAAAAAGCAGTTGTATTCTCTTCAGATGGAAGAAGGCATTGATCTGCTTGAACATCTCAGTGAGTTCAACCAGATCATAAGCCAGTTAACAAGCCTTGATGTCGAAATCGAGGATGAAGACAAGGACCTCCTTCTGTTGGCTTCGCTTCCAGGATCATACGATCACCTGGTTACGACTCTACTGTACCGGAAGAAGACGCTTAAGACGGACGAAGTCACTGCTACTCTTATGTCAAACGAGACAAGGAAAAAGACTAGCAGTATTAAATCTCAAGGAGAATGTTTCTTTGAAAAACACAAAGAGAGTCATGAAAGGGGCAGATCAAATCAAAGGAAGTCTGGAAGCTGAAGTCCGACAAAATCTAAGGGGAAGGGCAAGTTTATTTGCTATTACTGCAAAAAAAGAAGGTCACATGAAGAGCGATTGCACGAAAAGAAAGGAGGATATAAAGAGGATAGAAACAGGAAAAACATTTGATGAAGCTAGCGTGGCTGATAGCTCTGATAGAGATGACAGGATCTTCTCTCTATATCCTCAGGTAAGAATTAATTTACTGATTATTGGATTTTAGATTCCGGATGTTCTTTTCATATGTGTCCAAATAGAAATTGGTTCGAAACCTATAAATCATATAGTGGTGGGTCTGTTCTAATGGGGAATGATGCAGTATGCAAAATCATTGGAATAAGAACTATCAAAATCAAGATGTTTGATGGGATAGTACGAATCTTATCAGATGTGAGGCATGTCCCACAATTAAAGAAAAACTTAATATCCTTGGGGGCCCTTGACTCGAATGGTTGCAAGTATACAGCAACAGGTGGAGTCCTCAGGGTTAGTAAGGGATCTATAGTTGTTATGAAAGGTCAGATGGCTGGGAACCTATACAGGTTGATAGAGAATACAGTTACAGATGGAGCTTCTGTAACCACAGATGTAGAGTTCAGCACAGATGACACAAAATTGTGGCATATGCGTTTAGGGCATATGGACGAACGAGGTATGATGCAACTTCATAAAAAGAAATTGCTGAAGGGTGTCAGAGCGTGTAAACTGGATTTCTGTAAGTACTGTGTTTTCAGCAAACTGTGCAAGATTAGATTCAGAACTGCAGTTCATACGAGCAAGGATATACTAGACTATGTACACACTGATGTATGGGGGCCTTCACCAATCAAATCCAAGGGTGGAGCAGAATACTTCATTACCTTCACTGACGATTACTCAAGAAAGGTCTAGGTTTACTTCACGAAACACAATAGTGAAACATTCACGACGTTTAAACAATGGAAAGCAGAGATAGAAAGGACGACAGGAAAGAAACTGAAATGCTTGAGATCAGATAATGGAGGGGAGTACAAGTCTAGAGAATTTTAAGAATTTTGTAAAGAAGAGGGGATTGTACGTCACTTTACCACACCAAAAAGTCCTCCGCAACATGGTGTGGTTGAGAGGATGAACATGACTCTTCTGGAAAGAGCTCGACGTATGAGATTGAATGCAGATTTGAAGAAAAGTTTCTGGGCAGAAGCAGTTAACATTGCCCGTTTCATCGTTAACAGATCACCATCTACAGCGATTGATTGCAAAATTTCAGAGGAGGTACGGACAGGAAAGCCGGTAGATTACTCTATGATGAAGATCTTTGGATGTCCAGCCTATGTCCATATGCAGAGTGGGCAACATTCCAAATTAGACTCTAAGTTTAAATAGTGCATCTTTCTCAGGTTTGAGAAGGGAGTGAAGGGATTCAAGCTTCGGGATCCTACTTTGCATAAGGTTGTGCTTAGCAGGAATGTTGTGTTTGATGAATCTCATAGGGTGAAGTCAATCAACATGCAAGATGACAGAGTGCAAGTAGATGAAAGTAATGGAGAAAGATTGACAGTCCCGATAGAGCTAGAAGAGTCTGAAACACCAGAAAAGGAAGAATCATCTAGCAACATACCAGAACAGCAGCAACCACATGGTGAACCCTACAGTCTGGCAAAAGGCAGAAAGAAGCGTGTTCACAAAGCCCCTGTGAGATACGGCTTTGAGGACATGGTAGCCTTTGCTCTGACAGTTGGTACTGGGAAAATCGACTCTTTTGAAGATGCTCTAAGTGATACACAAAGTGATAAATGGATGGCCTCCATGATGGAGGAGATGGAGTCTCTAAAAAAGAATAAGACTTGGGAGCTTGTCAAGAGGCCCAAGGGAAGGAAAGTGATTGAGTGCAAGTGGATATTTCGGAAGAAAGAGGCAACAACAGAAAAGGACTATGAGAGATTCAAGGCTAGGCTCGTGGCAAAGGGCTACGCTCAGAAGGAGGGAGTGGACTACAATGAAATACTCTCCGGTTGTCAAGCACACTTCAATAAGACTATTACTTGCTTTAGTAATCATGTTTGATTTGGAGCTAGAACAGCTTGACGTGAAGACAACGTTTCTTCATGGTGATTTAGAGGAACAAATCTGCTTTTCTTCATGGTGATTTGGAGGAACAAATCTTTATGGAGCAACCTAAAGGCTTCAAGGTGCACGGAAAGGAAGATCCGGTTTGCTTACTCAAGAGATCGCTTTATGGTCTTAAGCAATCTCTCAGGCAGGAAAATTTCAGATATCCATACATGGAATTCGATATATCTGGGATTCGATATATATCTGTACATGGGGTATTTCAGTAATTTGTACCATCTATATGGGACTCGATATATATTGTTGCGATGGGGGGGACTTTTTAGGATTAAGGGAAAAATGCATATCTCTGAGTAATCAGAGAGAACAGAAAGGCGTGAGGAAGATAACTATTGTAACCCTATTCTCCATTGTCAGTAAACAAACTCTCATCTCCTGTAGACGTAGGCACGTTGCCGAACCGCGTATATCTTTGCGTTGTGGTTGGTTGTCTCTTTCTTTTGTGTTTGTTTCTTCTTTCTTATTTTCGTAGATTGTTTTTCGTTTCTACAGGTATTTGGTTTTGTATATTGTAATTGATCATTAGACGATTATGCGCAAAGCTAACAATTGGGCTGCCTACATATTTTAATTTTTGAATTTAAAGCACTGATGGAATGAAATTTTGCAGATCGGTGCTGTCCATATCAAGTGAATGGGGAGCAGTTATCACAAAGCTCAAGGTGCCAGCAGATTGGAAAGGTAATGGCTTATTAACAGAACACTCAAATGTTACTTGCCTGGTCCCTGCCCCTGATTATGCACACACACGTGACTTTCTTATCGGAAGACCAACTTTAAGTTTTGAAATCAATATATCACAAGGAAAAAGTGTAACATCTAGAAGGTTTTATTTGCTGAAATAATATGTCTAACCATTACAGGTGTGTATGGCCCTACAGTAGAGAGGGGCTGAACCCAACCAATAGTTGCTAGCATGCTATTTGCAGCCCTTTTCAGAAACTGAAAGACTTGATTAAATCAGTCAATTCGAATTAAATAGTTCTTTCTATTGCAATTGACAAGTGTTTTTTGCAGTGGAGCTGACATGTTGTGAATGTCACAACATCAAATATGTATTTTTTCATAAAAGAGAAATTGGGTTAAATAAAGGGAAAATATTACATTTGGTAGCAAATATTGGTCACTAAGAAGTGCAACTGTTGTATATGCAATATCAATATGTCAGTGAGCTGGTGGTGAGCCTCGTCACTGAAACATCCTCATTGGGTGTGATACATGTACATATGGGAGTTTTAAAAGTTGAGCTAAATTTAATGTTTTTATAGAAGCTGGAAAAAGCTGGCATGGTATCATATCAAATGGAACCAAAAACGGCCAAAAACTATATTCTAATTGTCAAACCCAGTGACACCTGTGATGGAACCTGATGGTTAGGCTATTTATCAAGATCAAATCTCAACAAAAAAAAAAATTGTGATATTATATCGAATTGGCTATCAAATAGAGGGTTTGGATATGCTACATACCATTGTTTCTGCATATGCATGCAATGATGTGTGATGCATGTTTTGTGCCCAACGTGCAGACTGATTTTAATAATTCTTTTGATTTGTGCAGATTGGCAGGTATACTTAGTACTGCTGGGCCTTTTCTTGGCTTCAGCTGTTCTTTTCTATATATTTTTTGAGAATTCAGATTCATTTTGGAATTTCCCTCTTGGGAGAGATCAACCTGCAAAGCCTTCAATTCAAGCCATCTATGGTGAGCAGTCAGCAGATGACGTGTGGTGAACCATTGGAACCATATGTGGGGTTCGCATCAGCAAATTTGTGACTTCCTTCCCATGCATTCATTGGAAATGAGCAACATTGAGCTTTGCAGACTATTTTTGGTTAGCTATTTATTGTTTTAGTGATGTGTATCAAAAATCGATAAATTATTTGTCTGGGGTCAAAGCTTGTCGATTTTGAAGTTGTTCATCTCTATTGTTGTCGTAACACAGATATTTTGTGATCTTTATGTTTTGTGCACCGGGCCAATTTCTGACTTAGAATTCCAGCATCCTCTTTTTTTTGAGATATCGGGGACCTCTTTTGTACTTTTCAGGGAATATAGAGTGCCTTTTGTGAATTATTCCAGCATCCTATTTTTTTTTTAGATATCGGGGCCCTCTTTTGTACTTTTCAGGGAATATAGAGTGCCTTTTGTGAATTCTTCCAGCATCCTATTTTTTTTTGAGATATCGGAGCCCTCTTTTGTACTTTTCAGGGAATATAGAGTGCCTTTAGTGAATATTTGTATGCCTCTTAGACCTTTTTTTTTTTCTCTTTTGTTTTTCTTTTTTTTTTCTTCATTTTTTTTTCCCTTCTTCTCTTTTTTTGATTTTTCAGTTGTCCACTACATAATTTAACATTGATGGGCATAGGCTTTTGGCTTTGAAACTTTAAGCAACTTTCCCTCTTTTTTTTTGACTTGCACACTTTTGGATGGGGTCTTCTCTTTTGCTTTAAATTGGAGGTGTTTCTTTTGTTATGGCACTTCGCCCTTGGACCTTCCCCTTGAGATAACAATCACTTTATTGTTCTCCAGGCCACAGGAGGTTATAATCGAGTTTGTCCTCGGATTTCCCTTACCTCATGTTAATGTCCAACATCTCCTTGACAATGGTACTGAAACCTCATTGAGTTTTCTTTGAATTCCAAATTGGATTTTGAATTTTAGACTTTGGAATACCCTTGATTTTCAAGGTCCATTTAGGTTAAATGAAACAGGTGAAAAATTATAAAATCACGGCAGAATTGTATGTCCCAACATCACAAAATTTCAGGATGATTAGGTAAAATCAAACAGGCTGACTTCCTGAAAAAATAGAATGTTTCTAATAAAAAAAATGCATTTTTTTCAATTAGGTGCAAAACCCCACTTTCAGGAGGAGAGCATCATGGGCTCGCCATGTATATTCCATTACCCATTTTTCCGGTGACTTTTATCTTTTTTTTATTTTTAATTAATTTCCAAGATAATAAAACTTTCAAAGCAACATAACAAGGGTTACGATTTATTCACTTATTTTCCTTTTCATTTGGAACCTTTCATAGTAAAATAATGAAGGATTATTAAGGGGCTTAGGTCGTAAATGCAGTTCTAACATTAGTTGGCTGGACTGCCTGGAAATATTGGATTCCCAGCAAAATTTGGAGAACTTAAAATGAGAACTCTGACAGGTACCAAGGTTTGAATATAGTAAATTTGTGGGTCTCAAGAGAATTTAGTTGCAATACAAAAAAAAAAATGGGTGTGATTTGTATAAGGTGTTAACCTTAAAACAATCCAACCTAAGGCGCCTTCATGTGATTTGTATAAAGTGTCAACCTTAAACAATTCAAAGCAAACCTCCAAAGCTCGTTGAAAGATGTAATTTTGGTGTTGGAGATTTCAACGATGACGTAAAATTTACTTGATATCTAAGTACGTACCATTTTTAGGATTTTAAAATATTTTGTTTCTTTTTTTTTTCACATATGTACATCTCAAGGTCAAGATGATTAATTAGAGGGTTTTTTCATACAACTTTTTTCGATAGATTTTTGAAGTATGCTTTTTTTTTTTTCTATAGTCTAAGGTTGCAACCTTATATAAACTTTTTCTAAGAAAAATAGGGCTATGTGGTTAGACAACACAATACACATGACAATGTACGCCCACAAAAATCACCAATTTCCGAAAATGTCATAACAACTAGGACTTTAGAAACGTATTTCATATTTTTCCATGTCTTTCTTGTTCCACTAGCTTGGACAAAATTTTCACGTATCCGTTTCGTTATTACAACCTTCTTTCTTTAAGTCAAAGACCAGAAGCTACGCGCAAATTCTCATTGGATCTCGGTGGTTCTTAACAGCGATGGCTATTCATTCAAGTCTTCTGGTAGCATCATCAGATCTTCAACAAGGTGAAAATTCTCGGATTCCCGATGTACATGTTTCTACGGCTCGGATGAGTATGCTTGTTTATATCGCAACGGCTATAAACAGTTCCTTGTTCCCATTATCATAACTTGGTTAAATTCAGTACAGATTCAATGAAACTAGATTAGCCAAAAAAAAACAACTTTCATCAGCTTTTTCACAATTTAAAATTAAGATACAGACCATTCAACCCAAAAGATAATACATAAATTTTAAAGTTAGTACATTATTTGAAACAAGGAACGTAGTTGGATGGTAGGATCAAGTTCTCTCCTATTTTACGCGACTTCAAATTGGTTGAGCCCACAGATCTTATTTCTCTTCTAACAATAGGGAAGTACATGAAACAAGTGAGGTCACCTCTTCTTGTGTAGCCAACCCAAAACCTTGCCATCGAATTCTTCCAAACCGGTCTAACAAAAATATATACCTGCAATCGAAACAATGACACTGTAAACATCAAAACCAACATTTCATTTGGTTTGAGAGCAAGAAAAAGTTAGGGAGCAAAATACCCAGTGAGAAGATTCAAAATTTGAAGTTCCTTCCTAAAATAGTAGTGATCACCAAAAGAATAAACCATCTGCTTCTGAAGGGTTTGCTTCTCACTATCAAAATCAGATTTTCTCATTGTTCTAAGCAGTAAACTTCTAATTGGGCTCAATGATAAGAACCAAGAGTCGATAAAAGATACCTGCAGAATGGGCAATAGCTTTTAAGCTACCAGTAAAAGGTTATGATGAACACAAGTGGCAAAACGGCATCTTATAAGAGGGATAATAACAACAAAGTGCCCTGAGCAACTGACGTAGTCATGCAGGTGCACAAGAAATTCAGATCTCAAAAAAATGTCATGACTGGTCAATTCTTTTTGAGTGACCATTGTTTCTTATCTGGTATATGGAAATACCAGATCAGGAGGAAAACTGGTATATGGAATACCAGATAAAGTGGAAAATAGTACTTCAGGGAAAAAATGGGTCACACACTTGATATTACAAGTTCTAGAGAACATGCATAAGTTATGTAGATGAGACAGAAATCCTATGATATTTTCCCTTAATAACTGGGGACAATCTGCATTTAACAACAGGAAACATGGCAATACATATTACATTCGTATGAAGAAGATAAGAAGTTGCTTCAGGTTCTTTATATCAGGTCAACTATGTCCCCTATATTGTCGCATTTTCTAGTCCAAACAAGCATCTGAGGATCGTCAGATCCTCATTCAGTAAATCTCATGATAAACTATCAAAGACGAAGGCAAAGCTAGACAAACCCATGAAATTACAAGAGGGACTTTCACGAATAAAAGTGAAAGTGGCAATTGGTAAAAGTAAGATATAATCTCATACTTCAAACCTGCATTGCATTACCAACAGTCTTTAAGGATGAAGATACCCATTTTATCTCCAAAAGTGACAAAGACAAATGAAGCTCAATAAGGTCTAAACTAAGGCCTCCCATGCATGGTTTAAAATCCATAATAGAAGTTGATACAAGCAGTGTAGGATGATTACATTATCATACTAGTGACAAATGGCTTTGGATTTTGGGATACCACCTCATATAATTGGACATTTCTTGAATTGCTGAATGCATCCTCAAAAGGTTTACTCCAAGAATCAATCATTGCCTGCAAAAAATAGGAATGAATAAGATAAAACTTAAAATAGGTAATAATTAAACAATTTGAAGATGAAAATAAATTCATAGGATTGCAACAATTGAAGACCCTAGCAGAAGCAAAATATATGTTGGGAAATATGAAAAGCTATAGACTTATGAGTTTGTTTTCATTCCATTAGAAACAGTGTATAAACTCCGTGACTCAGGTGCAGAATTACCTTATTCACTCGGATCTGATCTGGAGGGTCCCAAATCTGCAGACAAGGGACCGAGGTACAGAACCAGCCAGGTCCCTATGACCTAGGTATGGAACAAGTTTGTTCCATCTAGTGACCCAGCAGGTTCCTGATCAAACATAGGCAAGCTAATGAGCCCTGGTCTAGTTGCTTGGACTCACCCAGTCCAATAAATTTTTTATTTTTTGCCATGGGCAGAAAATAAAAAAAGACAACGTTAGGATACGTCAGCCCTATGAGGGTATTGGTCGTCAAAATTTTATCTCCAGGGTTTTCCAGCTCTCTATCGAATCACGAAACAGGATTTGTGAAGGATTGAAAAAATTCCCCGAATTTGAGAGAATATGAAATCCACATTGAAACTTTGAAAAAAACTTCAACCATCATTGGATCTTCCAATCCAAAGCCCAATCACCAAAATTACTTTGGGGGTTCAATTTTAGGAGCTTTGAAGGTTGATATATGACTGCTACTTGCATTTACACAGTTTATATTTTGTAAATTTCACTTAATTTCTCAAAGCTAATTTTTTCACTAGAAAACTATGTATGTGGTACCATTTCTTCAAACTACTCCAGATCTATATTGATCTATGCTTTGTTTAGGCTAGATCTAGTTGTTACTTGCTAATTAACGGCTGGAAGATGTATACTTTCTTTGAATTTGTACTTTTGTTTTTGAATGGTATCATCATCATCATCGTCGGAGCCTTTTTCCAACTAATTGGGGTCGGCTGTATGAATCATAGTTCGTCATTCTGCTCTATTAAGGGCTATACCCTCAGTGAGGCCACAAGTCCCCATATCTTTTCTCACTACTTCCAACCATGTCTTTTTGGGCCTACCCCAAAAAAAATGTAACATTTTATTTTAGCATGAAATATGTTTGTGATTCTTTTTTTTTTTGGATTTCATGCTTTGTGTTTCCAAAATATTTCTTGATTTGTCACAAAGTATTCATGATGTCTCACGGATTTTCCCTTATTTTTCAGTATTTCCCCTGCTTTAAAAATATTTTCTAATTTTTCCTTTTTCTTTTTCATGAGATTCCTTTCTGGTATTTTTTTTACATGTATTTGCCTGTTTGATGCTTTTAGGGAAGTGAATCCCCACCCAAATGTGTTCAATACGGTGCAAACAATTATATTTTTCCCCTTCTATACTTGGGAATTTTTTGGCATTGAAATGCTTTCTTGTAAAATTTTGCATGTATCTTGGGTGTTTGATACTTCTAGGCACGTAAATCCCCAATCAAAACACATTTATTTTGGGTGCCAAGCTACACAAGGTGGTCTATGTCCTCAACAACTTGAACATCCGAAAGCGTTTAAGGACCACGACTCTATCAAATTGGATCACATATTTCTAGATGATCCTTGACGAGTGGTAGGTGGAAGTGGAGGGGTCCCTTTTCAATAAGAAGCAACTAAGTAAGAGTTTGGGCCCATCAAAGAGGAAGTGAAGGTGGGAGTTGGAGGTGTACAATTTATGGGAGGAGCAAAGTTGAGGCACAATGGGAAGATGGAGGAGGAAATGATGATAATGTTGATATAAGGGGCACTAAGAATGAACACAAGAAGCTGGGTATGCACAAGCATGACGGCTAGACCAGCCTTGGAGACTTTGGGTTAACAGGGAGGGACTACCAAAGTTTTCCATCCGACGAAGTCATTACCAAACCATTGGGGAGATAATCAGGATTACCATGATTGGAATGACTATGAGCCACTGTCATTCATCTTGGCTTTATATTGATGTCATTTCGCATGTATATTTGTAATTTTGAATGCTTCTATAAAACTCAATAATGTTATGTATTCTAATTTAGACCTAGCAGTTAAAACCCTCAGTATGTATAAGTTTCGAGTTTTCTTTAGTATACATAATATTTTCTTGTTTTTTTTTTCATTTCCTATATTTCATATTTTCTGCAATTTTCAACATTATTTTTTACAAATTTTTATGCCATTTTGGGCCGACTCGCGACTCTCTAAGCTGACTACGCCTGGTCTATGCTTGGGTCCAAACCTGAGTCGAGATCAAGTTTTGCAGCAATCACATACGGACTACTTACTCAAGTACATATTTGAACAATTGATCACACATCTTAACCAAGAAAGTTAAGGGCCACAAAACCTAAAAGAAATACAAACACATGAAAAGAAGCAAAAAAATCCAATAAACCAAAAACAAACTGCCACAACAACATGAATTGATAGATAGCTGCAAGAATACAAACGATTCAAATCTAAGGATCGTTCAAAGAGAGACGAAAAAAGACTAAAAATCATAATGAAGTTCTATTTTCTGTTTCAGTTGATGCACCTTTATTGGTTTAAGGAAATAATCACTGTTTAGGAAAATATATGTCCTCAAAGTTAAATTATAATTTTTAGGGTGTAGTTTGTATAAAGTATCAACCTTAAACAATCCAAGTAATGTGTACCTCTCAATTATGCTAAAGATGTAGTTTTGGTGCTAGAAAATTTTGTGATTGCCTAAAAAATTGTTTTCGTCCCTAATTGTGAAATTTAGAGCTCTAAAATTTGTGCAGATCGAGTAGATCTATAAACACTTGAAAATCTTGAAAATGGATAGTCCAGATAAGACGCTACAAGATGCCCTATTTTCAAGACTTGAAATCAATTTTATTTTAAAAAAAATATCCACAAATCTCAAGGTCAGAAGAACTAATGGAGGGTAGAACAATCTGCTTTGGTGGGTTTTTGAGGTGTGACCTTACTTTCACAGTATAAGCTAACACCTTTCGCTTGTATAAACTTTAATCATAAAGATGTGTTTGCACTCTGCGACTCATATACGTAATGCGGATATTCATTTTGTTCTTCATAACATTAATAGTAAATCACCTATGAGGGCATTCTAGTTGTTTTGTAGTTAAATACTCATATCCATCATGTTTTCCTTAATGAGAAATCAATTCTCTCCCGCATGACGAAAGCACCAGAGGTAGTCCGACCCAAAGCAAAACCTAAGTCCTAATCACACTCCGTGGCTAAATCCAAGTAAATCTTCACATCTGAGATGTGTAGTATGCCCTGAACCTTTCTTGCCTACTACTGTATATCATAGTAAATTAAACATCATCATCATCACAGCTTTTTCTCAATTAATTGGGGTCGGCTACATGAATCCTGGTCTACCATTCTGCTCTATTAAAGATCATACCCTCAGTGAGGCCATAAGTCCCCATATCTTTTCAGACTACTTCCAACCACGTCCTTTTGGGCCTACCCCTAGCGCTTTTCCGTCCTTCCACTTGAACTAACTCGCACCTCCTAACATGTGTTGTACTTGGTCAATGCCACACATGGCCATCCCACTTAAGTCTACTCTCTCTCATCTTATCGCCTATTGGTGCTACACCTAAATTCTCCTAAATGGATTCATAGTGAATTAAACATCAAAACCAAAAATCCATCTACATTGCTACATTAGAGGGCTTTAATGGAGTTTTGGTTGGGTTAGAATAATAGCAAACTAATGGAGGAAAATATGCAAACTGAGAAGTTCGCAAACCTGAGAGCTTGCACGAAAGTGAAGGCATAGTAAAGATGAATGGGGAATGGCCATTTGATTGGCGTTCGACTCTTTCTCTTCATATGCAATGGGTAGCTTTATCTTTCTACCATTTGAGAACTCGACATCCAGTGCAGGAAACTTTTTAGCCACCATAGATGGAACTATTGTTTTATTTGCCATCCCAATCTGCAAATTAATCATTTAAACAGGATAAGTTTCTCATTTTTAAAAAAAAAAAAAGTGTTTTCAAACAAGAAAGTTGTTGCACAACATCCAGATCATCATATGTCAAAGCATATCTCTCATCAGCAGAAAAAAAGGGCATCAAGTGAGAACTTTAAATATAAAGTTGCAACAAAGAGACCATCCCTCTGTTGATCGTTGTAAATAAATAAAAATAGCCCTAAGTAGAGTTCACAAATTACAGGATATAAAAATCTAATTATAAAAGAAAAACACAGAACATAACAAAAATAAAATATCACAAGAGTACTCTTCTAGTTCATTTATTGCTGCAAGGAGAATTGTAGGTACGATTAGAACTTAGAAGTGAAGTGATTCATACCCTACTTCCTAACTCGGTATCTATTTTGCTGTCCCATTAAAGTAGGAACTGAAGTAAACTCCTAAGCTACTCCAATCTGTTCACAAGTAATTCACAAAGAAAAGGATACGAGAAAAGTTTCAAATTAATTTGAAGCATCTTATCCTAATAAGCAGCACACAAATTTCCAGTTAGGTATATCAAGTATTCTTTTCATGTCTACCAGTTAAAACTAGGCATGCTGCTGTATGACTAGGTACTAATTTTCACGAATGGAATAATGAGGGTGCCGATGATAACAATTATAATACTTTCTTCACTTTCCGGATTATTATATTTTTCCATTTTTTCAGGTAAGTTTTTTTCATGACTCATTCATTCAGTTAAACTTCCAGTCATGACCTGTTTGGACCAGAGGAGCTATCTACCAAATTAACAACTAATCATGTCTTCATAATATTAATTTCTATCATGCATCACAACATGTTTTCATGTGAAATACATAATACTTAACCGAGCAGCAGGTATGTTCTTAATTCTGAAACTCTATTCCTTGAGGAATCACAAGTATAAACCATTTATTTTCTTATTGTATTAGAAGCTTGATATCTAGGGTAGACAATCCAGCAGAATGAAGAGATTGAGAAAGATGTTACACAGAATTAGAGCTGAGTGGATGAAGTGGAAATGTACATCCGGGGGGTATTATGTGATCGCCACCATTGAGACTGAAGGGGAATTCTATAAGACGGCTGTAAGACCAGCCATGCTTTATGGGACGGAATATTGGGCAGTCAAGAAACAACATATCTATAGGATGAGCATAGCTGAGATGAGGAAGTTGAGATGGATGAGTGGGAAGAAAGGATATAATGCGGAATGAATACATATGAGGGAACTTAGGTGCGGCTTCCACAGGCAATAAGATGAGGGAAAGTAGACTTAGGTGGCTTGGCTATGTGAAGGCCCAAAAAGACATGGACAGAAGTAGTGAGAAAATATATGGTGACTTTTAGTCTTACTAAGGGTATAACCCTTATTAGTGAAGAATGGGAGAACATGATTCATGTAGCCAAACCCAAAAAATTGTAATAAGCCTTGGATGATGATAATGATGATTAGAAGCTTGATATCAAATCATGTTATCAATAATGAGACAATTGGAAGAACCATGTTATACCAACATACATAAATAAACATATACCACATAATCTAAGCACATACCACATAGTGATATGGTATCATAAAATATACGAATAATGCTAACACAAATAAACAATCACATATATTACACTCATTTCCTAAACTTGCTTCTAAAAACAATTTGTTTCTAGGGAAAATATCTCTTTATCCCCTATTTTTAACTTCCATATCTTATGAGACCCAAGAATTGAAAATATTACTTGTAAGCAAAAGGTCTCCATCTTTTGTATCTTACAACCCCCTGGACCCCTTTGACCATAAATTTTTTACCCAAACAAACACTAAGTGACACCCTATTCAAATTTCATCTCTCTCTCTTCGTTTCTCGGTGAGTTTAGCAGCCAAGAGGTTTAGCTTGAGCTCGAACACGAGCATACCTTCTTATGTGTGAGAGAGAGATGAAGTTTTATAGAGAGATAGAGTTTGGGTTTTAGAGAGAGATGGAGTTTTAGACAGAGAAAGATGGAGTTTGAGTTTTAGGGAGAGAGATGGAGTTTACAGAGAGACGATCATGTGAGTGTGAGAGATGGAGTTTGGGTTTTAGAGAGAGATGGAGTTTTGAGAGAGAGGATGATGTGAGAGAGAGAGAGAGATGAAGTTTTAGAGAGAGAGAGATAGAGTCATTTCATAAGTTGTTGAGGTCACCAATACATAGTCAAACAGGTTTAGGGGGTTGGAAGATAGAAAAGATGGAGTCTTTTTGCTTACAAGTAATATTTTCACTTCTTGGGTCTAATGAGATATAGAAGTTAAAAATAGGGGATAATGGGATATTTTCCCTTGTTTCTATATTATATTATGATCGTAAGCCCAGTCACCTGCATAGTAATTCCAATCCAGGGGATTCAAGCTGCAAAATGATTTTGCCTAAATTGATAAAAATTATGATACACCTCAACTCTTAAAAAATTGTTCGGAACTCTAGCACATGAAGTTGAGAGGAAAATGCTACAAGATGGCATGAAAAACAAAAATAACAATAATGTGGCATTGTGCATGGTCGAAGAAACATCAAGGCCGTCAATATAGGAGGTTCAAGACATGAACCGAATATCAATGGAATGTCTATGATCAGATGGGCCATCAGAATCAAACACATATAAACCTCTTAAGTCAACACTTTGTAATAATTCAGCACACCTTACCACCATGTTTTTTTAACTCAGACATGTCTGCAAAGTAACCTCTATTCATTTCATCTGATCTGCACGAATGTAAGTCAAATAGATGCATTAGAATAAACAACAGCCATAAAGGAGAGACTTGTGCCCTTTAAAAGAAAACCACATCTTAAAAAGCATCTGCAAAAACAGGATAGGAGTGTAACAAAGTAAAAGAACAATCAGTTGATAAGGAGTCCAATATGCATATCACTGTCAGTTGATAAAGAAGTTCAACAAGAAAAAGTTAGCATTGTGTGAACTCCAAAATAATTATAAAAAGAGTTGTACGAACTCCGAAGAGTCTTTCTTAAGCATTTGATAACCAACTCTTGTCTGCTGATGCTGAACCTTTTTTTGCAAAGTCTGCAAGTACTACAGTTCCCCCCTATGAGAATCTCAGATTTTGGCCCCCATAGAATTTATTACCCCTTTCAAATCTACTCAATAGATTCTGTTGGGTTGAGGAGGGAAATGAATAAGTATCTAAATAGTTTGTCTGCGATTTCATGTATACCATTCTTTTTATCCAATGTAATAAAAAGCAACAATCTCATGGTAAATAGACTACTATAAGTTTAATAGACATCTGACCAAGGATATGAACATAAAATGGTTACTGAGTGTAAATAAAAATATCAACAATAGAGATGACTAAGATGAGATTCCAAACACTAAATAAAAGCTCTCTGCTTAAAATAAGCCTATCCTAACACCGAAAGCAGTAAACAAAACTTGTTAAAGGATTATGGAATTCTTATGAATAATTTATAAGAACAAAGTTGAGGGTTTGCAATATCAAACCACAAACAAAGCCTTTGTCCATGCAATTAAAGAAACCTACCAGTACATGTAGACCAGAAAATTTGAGAATGATCTTGAGCTATCTTAAGGCCTTTACTTCTTCTTACTCATATTAAGAGTGTTGTCGCACAAGGATTTTTCAATAATTCCAAGCATAACCACAATGTATATCACATTTCATTGAAATGCAGAATAGGTAAGGTGATAAAATGAAACACTCCATCACAAGGTTTTGTGGTTTCCTTGATGAGAGTCCCAATTGTAATATCAAGCACAAATTTTTATAGTGGTTCCACGATGAGCGCAGTAGCCACAGCGTTCATTTGACATTACATTGACCAAGTATAGTATATTTCCATACCATGTGATATATATATAATATACTCATATTCAGTGTTCAATGCCCAATAGCCATCTATTGCTTGTCTTAATGGTCAAATGAGACACACAACGAGATGAGCATAGCTTACGATGAGAATTTTTTGATAAAATTTTGCATAGCTTAATACGAATCTCAAAAAAAACAATAGAAGATAAACAATTATTTAGCTCAAATAAATTATTGCTCTCAGATCCAACCTCCTATCAGATAATATTTACTGCTAAAACCAGCCACTATCATTGTAAAGCCACTGTTTTCTGTATAGTTTTCTGATTATAGAGAGAGACAGAAAGAAAGACAGAGAGAGCATACAGTCTCTCGCGCTCCTTCTTGATGGCCTCTTTATTGCCAAACTGCAAAATGAAAAATAGATAGGAATCAGTCGTCCTCGAAAATATAGAGAAACAAACACGAACAAAAGAAGCAGTAAGAGAGAGAAAAAGAGAGATGACCCGATAGATATCGAAGAAGCGAGGAGAAGGTCGGGCGATGAGAGAGGGGGCATCAGAACGAAGGCAGCCATTATCGAAAGATAAGCACCGGGCAATCGAATAGCAATGTGCAGAGTAGATTAAGGAAGAGGAGAGCCTTCTCCTCAACATTTTCTCCTTCTAAATATTGATTTTGCAGAAAAGCTCATCAAATGCAATTTCGCGAAAATGAGCGCGATCTTTCCCTGATTCCTCCCCTTTCAACAGCGCGGCCGCGTGTGGCAAATCGAGAAAATTAGCAAGGAAAAATAAAAGTGGAAAATAATCTTTTACCTCCCGTCTAAAACGTGCCATCCATGTAGACCCTCGGGTCCATGTAAACCCTGGATCCCTGTAGGTGTCTACATTCCAAATAGAAAAAAAGTTTATATTAGGTGTCGGTCAGTCTGCATCTTAAAAACCACATTAAATTAGGAACGGTATACAATGAGATTATTTATTTTTTATACAAATAAATTATAATTACTTACGACCATCATATGTAAAATTTGATATTGTCTTGACACTACCAAAATAATAGTTTGAAGTCCTCAAAATATTCTTTCTTGTCATGCATTACCTAAACCGTTTATTTTTAAGATTTTCAAGTGTTTATAAATCTAATAGATTTACATTATTTTTAAAATTTAAAATTCCATAATTCGGAACGAAAACAACTTTTTACGTTGTCACAAAGTTTTTTGGCACCTAAACTACATCTTTCAGTATCATTTAGAGTGCCTTAACATAGATTTTTTAGGGTTAGCGCCTCATACAAACCAAATACCTTTTAAATACGGGGTACCTTTTTTTATCCAAATAACATATATGTCCATATATTTTTTACTTAAAGGTGTAGTTTGCATAAGGCAACACTCTTAAACAATTAAAGTAAGTTATGCCTCCAAACTTTGCCGTAAGATGCAATTTTGGTGTTGGAAATTTTTAAAATTTGAATTTCCAAAAAATGGTTCAAATCAAGTAAATCGATAAATGCATGAAAATCTGGAAATAGATGGTCCAGATATTGTAAGATGTACTATTTGTTGGATCTGAAATCTTTTTTTTCTCTGTATCTATCCATCATGATGTCGAGATGATTAAGTAGATATTTTCCAACATCAAAACAATATTTTTCGAAGGAATTCAGTGGTACAGTTTAAGATGTCAACCTTATATAAACGTTTTCAGTTAGATTGCAACTTTAAACAATTAAAGTAAGGTGCACATCTAAACTTTATCATAAGATGTATTTTTAGTGCCAAATTTTTTTACAATGGCCCGATAATCTATTTTTATCTCTAATTATAAATTTTAAACTCTATAAACGGTTCAAACTTCAAATCAAGCGGATCTATAAACACATGAAAATCCTAATAATGGACGGTCTAAATAATATTTTGTAAAATATATTGTTTTTGAGACTTGAAATCTTTATTTTCTCCATATTCACACATCTTGATGTCGAGATAATCAATTTGATATTTTTCGAACATCAAAACAACTTTTCTCGAGGAAATTTTGAGGTGCACCTTAATTCTATATTTTACGGTTTCAGCCTTATATACAAATTTTCCTTAATACCGTAGTCCAAAATCCGTCTCTCATGGTTCACTCACGCATTCATATTTTATACTCCTGTGGCAACATATTGTACACCTGCTCCCTTGAGCAGATGATCACAAGGGTGGCTTAAATGGCTCTCCAGTTCGCTCACGCATTCATATTTTATACTCCTGTGGCAGCATATTGAACACCTACTCCCTCAAGCAAATGATCACAAAGGTGGCTTTAATGGTTTTCCAGTACTTCCATCACTCGAACAAGGGAGCCTTCGAGGGCCTACCACTGTTTTTCCCTCTAGAAATTGGCGGGACCTTGCTTAGGGAGCAACCAAGCCTTCTCTATAGGAGGCTTGGGGAGATCTGTCGGGTTCATATCAAAACAAAAAATCTCTAAGTTTTATTTTTGCTATTTTGTTTATTTTTTTATGGAGTTTGCTCTATTTAATTTTTTTTTTTTTTTTTTGTGGGTTTTCATAATGGGAAATGTTTCTATGCTTTTTTTACAACATAGAAGTTCTATCCTCCCCCTACCATCCAGCCATCTAACTTTGATCAAGAGAGCCACTTACAGTTTGATCTTAGATCCAAGGTCCCAAAGTATTTTATTTTTAGTTTTTTTTAATACAAATTGTGTGAATATGAAAGTTGGTACGTGCTATCTTCTCATTGGGGCGCACCTATAAAAAATATTAATTTTTTTTTCAATCAAATACAATGACCAAAATACCCTTTAAATATGTTAGGGGTATTTTTGTAATTTTATTTTATTGAAAACATTTTTTTTTATATTTTTTGCTAGTACAAGTTGAATGGACGTCCAAAATTTGGTGTCAAAATAGTATATAGAAAGACTTGACATTATGAATGGAGCAATCTTAATCCTCCATTCAGAATGGACGGTTGGATAAGGGGGAGGATAGAACTTCTACACTCTACGGAAAACATAGAAAACTTACCCTTTCATATATACCTCATGTATGAAACCAATATGATTTTGAATATTTGATTTTGTGTTTTTTGAATTTTTCCCATTTTTCTCTACATTTGTATTTTTTTTTTATATGTTGCCCGAATTGGCTGAGCCTACTTTAACATTCGGCTGTTGGACTTAGATTAGTTGAGACCAGTCCACCAGACCAAGTTTTTAAACACTTTAAAGGAATTTAAACAAGTGTCTTAAAACCCAGACCACTCGAGTGAACCAACAATCCAGAAGTCCAATCCAAATTGGCAAATTGTTGATAAGTAGACCGATTCTCTAGTGTGAAAATGAGTCCCAAACATATATATATAAAAAGGGAAAATTTCGTATAGATCTTTAATTCATCGTATTATTTCATGATAGACTTTCATTCTATTTTTCTTTCAAGCATCATTAAAAACCCTTAAAGATTTCACCATACCCCCTCATCTCTTATCTCCCTATTTTATTTACTTTTGACTATAAAAATTAGAATCAATAAAAGAGAAAAAAAAGAGATGAAGGGGTATGGTGAAATCCTTAAAGATTTCTTTATGTTGGTTGAAAAAAAAATAGAAAGAGGGTCTATCATGATATAACATGAAGAATTCTATACGAAATTTTCCCCAAAAAAAATTTGAGAAGGAATAGAAAAAATAAAAAAAATAAAGACTGAAATATGTAGGAATCGAGCAATTCAACTAGTCCGCATCGTCTGGTTCCTAAAAGACTCGTACAATTCCCCATGGAAACGGTTGAGTCCAATGATAGTGGACCAATCAACCAAGTCAATCTACACTGACTCCCAATTTGGATAAGTAATTCTTGATCTGGATCACCAATTTTTCAATCTAAACTGACGCCCATTTTGGATAAGTAATTCCGATCTAGATCACCAATTTTTCAAACACTACATGTAAGCCAACATTTTTTTCTCCAACCACGATACTCAGCAAATGACTATGGAACTGAGATGTTCTGCCTCAAGGAAAAAAACCTTATCTGCACCCTCTGGTAATTGGTTACAGATAGAGGAGAGGAGAGGAGAGGAGAAGAGATGAGATGGTACATAACAACGCATGAAGGTATAACACGGGATTTCGTAAGAAAAAGATCAAGTGCTTAGCGGAACAATGCTGCATCTCAAGTTTAGCGAGAGTTGATATTCCCACTTATATCAAGGCTAAGAATGGGTCGAATCAGTTCCGATCCACCAAGACTGAAAACATAAAAACATGAGATGCAGAATATATCCATTCATAACAGAAATTCATCTACTTAAAATTGTAAATCAACTCCCCACATACAAAAAAACTGCCCCCCGTCCTCCTATTTTTCTAGGACAGAGTGGCGGCACTGGAGAATGCATACCCGGGCTGTGTTAGAGGAACGACTTCATCTCACTCACATAGGGCTAACAATGGGCCGGGAGGCGTGGTCCTGATCTAGGCCACAAACTGTGCCGAGGGTTGGGTTAGGCTAGGCTAGTGCTGGCTTGATTTGGCCCAGCACAACTATTTTTTTTTTGGCCCACCCCCGTTAGGCCTTGGCCATATAAGAATATGAGCCAAGCTTGGGCTGGTGTGGCCCTAAAAAAATAGCATTTGGGCGACAAATTGTGGCTTGAGGGTTTTTTTTCTTTTTTTTCATTTATTTTTGGCCTGGCCATGGGCCTATATGAACCCGAGCCAAGCTTGAGCTGGCCCATACCACCCTCCCATTTACATAACAGGAAAAAAAAAGAAGATATTATTCCTCGCTTCTGGGGCTGCCACACGTACATTCAAACACGCAACCTAAGGCGCGGTGGGGATCTCTCCCTCTCCTCTCTCTCTCTCTAAAAAGCTCGGTCCATTATGAAGATCCCGGGAATCTTCTTTTCCCAGTTCCAACTTACGTGCCTTATCACCCGGTGCCTTGGCCTCCATTACCCGCAGCGAACAAAGACCGTCAACAGTTCCCCTCCAATACGATTCTATTTCGATCACTCTCATCTCTCTCAAATCTTTGTTTATTCAAGAACTCACATTTCTTTTAGAGATTCCTCCTGAAAGACACATATATTTCCCAATTGGACTTAATTTCAGAACCCACAAATTTTTTATAGAGAGAGAATTTTTTATTCAAAACGTTATGAATGCTATAGGCTCATGTCAGTTGCTATTGGATTTGCAGAGCTCCTGGCGCTCTATCAATCAAATACCCATCTCTGCTTTTGCTTACTTGTACAATAACAATGCAAAGTTATCAGCTTCTTCCTCCCCTTCTCCTTCCTCTTCTCCTTTTAAGAGTCGTAGAGGTAGGAGGGGAATTGGGTCATCAAATGCTTTCTCTCTATCTCCTCAGACTATTCGTAAGCCGTTCGAGCGGTTCTCGGTGTCTCCTCTCACGACGTCTTCCAGGTTGGGTTCGGTGTCTGAATTGATGCTTTTCATGGAGATTGTCCCCTTGAGGATGAGGAGAGAGCTCTTGCAGCACTCTGAGATTCATCAATTGATTGAGGTGGTGATAGATCTTGGAAGAAAACCTCTTGCTCGATTCCCTTCCGGTGATTGGGTCATTTCACAACAGCCAGTCGAGCTCGAAGATCTTAAATACTCCATTTCAAAGGTAATTGAGTGTCATATTATAGCAATTCATCGCAACTCATGTTCTTATTTTTCTTATTCCTCTCTCTCTCTC